AAAACTCCTGAAAGACAATGCAGTCACTGGTCACTGCCAGCACAGCTTCATAAGAGGAAAGTCTGGCTTATCAAACCTCATTTAGTCTTATGACAAGGTAACCCACACAGCTGATCAAGGGAAGCCAGTTGATGTAATCATTTTGGATTTCAGTAAAGCTTTCAATACTGTCTCTCACAGGATCCTTCTGACTAAATGTCTACCTGGACAAACACATCATATGGTGGGTGAGCAGTTGGCTCACAGGTCAAGCACAGAGGGTAATAGTGACTGAGGTAACATCAATGACCTGTCACTAGTGGGGTTCTACAGGGCTCCATCTTAGGCCTTGTGCTTTTCAACATCTTCATAAATTACTTGAATGCAGGACTGGAAGGGATACTAAGCAAATTTGCAGATGACACAAAACTGGGAGGAGCTGTTGACTCTCAAAAGCAGGGAGGTCCTTCAGAGAGACCTTGACAAATCAGAAAACTGGAAAATCACTAACCATATGAAGTTCAACAAGGAAAAGTGCCACATTCTGCACCTGGGATGGGGCAATCCTGGATGTTTGTACAGACTGGGGAATGAGATGCTGATAAGCAGTTCCTTGAAAAGAGACCTGGGGATCAACAGCAAGTTGAATATGAGTCAGCAGTGCCCTAGCAGCCAGGAGGGCCTACTGTGTCCTGGGAAGAATCAGGTCAAGCATCCCCATCTGGGCAAGGGAGGGGATTGTCCTGCTCTGCTCTGCACTGGTGCTACCTCACCTTGAACATTGTGGCAGTTTTGGGCACCACAATATAAGAAATATATTAAGTTCTTAGAGAGTGTCCAAAGGAGGGCAATGAAGATGGAGAAGGGCTTTGAGGGAACAGATGAGGTCACTTGGTGTGTTCAGGCTGGAGAAGGCTGAGGGGAGATCTCATTGCAGTCTGCAACTTCCTTGTGAGGGGAAGAGGAGGGGCAGGAACTGATCTCTTCTCTGTGGTGACCAGTGACAGAACCTGAGGGAATGGCCTGAAGTTGTGTCAGGGGAGGTCTAGGTTGGTTATTAGAAAGGGGTTCTTCACACAGAGGGGTGTTGGGTGCTGGAACAGTCTCCTCAGAGAAGTGGTCACAGCACCAAGCCTGATAGAGTTCAAGAAGCATTTGGACAATATTCTCAGGCACATGGTGTGACTCTGGGGGATGGTCCCATGTAGGGCTAAGGGTTGGACTCAATGATCCTTTTGAGTCCCTTCCAACTCAGCATATTCTGTGATTCTGTGAAATGTGTGAGTCCCATTACTTAAGAAAGCTGAGAGCTTCTGAAGTGCTACAAGAAGCCATGTACTGAGTGGTAGAAGTTAATCTTACAGCCACCACACTCTGCTCCTTTCAGAACTAAGTATATACTTTTCCTAACAGCCTGTAAGGATCAACAGCACCTTTGATGATCTAGGTCCTTGCATCTTTAGTAAACTTTAATTTTGGTGCCAAAATCAATAGAAGAGATTGTTCAGTTCAATACATTTAGTACCACACATTGAAGCAGTTTATTGTTTCCTAGAGACTGAGGAAGAGCCAAAAGAAATTGACATCTTAACTGCCTATCCTATCTACCTACAGTCTCCCTTGTAAGCTGCTTATGAACACATCAGTCTTGATATTATTCTGCAAATGAAAGCAAACAGAAACAATGGACTGTTTCCTATGAATCATTTGTTCCATAAAGTGTATGCTTTGGTATCAACATTCAGCTCAAATTATCTAAGCAAAAAACAAATGAAAATGAAATGTTTAAAATAATCAGGCTTGGTGGCTCTCCATACTTCTGATGGGTCTTTTCTGTAAACGAAATGAAGGATGAAGTATAACTATTAGATTCCTGTCTGAAGATTTATGCAACTCTGCTTCACTCTATCAAAGTAATCAGATTTAGGCTACTGGATTAAAAACATAAGGAAAGTACTCTCACCTGCTCTCCATTGAGTGTTCTGTAGGGACCTCACTGCTACAACGATTTTAGCAGTACCAAGGAGGGTAGCATTTATCCACAGGTGGGAGGTATTGTCCTGACTGCAAGGAAAAAAAAAAAAAAAGCCTAAGTTCTTCCTTAAGTAGGGAACAACATTACCTTTCCACCATTTTTGCTGCAGGAAACAAAACAGAGGGAAAATTTGAAACGTGGTTTTCAATTACTTCAATGCCTGCTGAATATCAGTTTATAGAAGAGGAAATTCACAGACTAGGAAGAGAATGACTGGAAAACATTTGAATACTAGGGAAGGTTCACTGAGATTTCTCTACTGGTAAACTTCAGTTTTATTGTAAGAGAAAAATCACTCAATTAGCTCTGTCCAAATAGGAGACTCCCCATGCAATTAATTTCTGGATCCATTTTTTTTACTCTTTGTTCCTTTCTTCACTGCTGCAGTAGCTGTACAGGGACCACAACAGGGCAAGGAACAGTTCTTCTGAGACTTGCCATACTAGGAAATGAAATAAAAAGTATTGGGATAAAAGATTTCTTAAAAAATGCAGATGAACAACCAGATGATGTGGAGGTTTTAATAAAATGTAGCTCTTGATCCAGAAATGGTGACATGATTTTGGTAGTAGCCAAATATAAGCTTTTGCTTTTTGATACTGAAACATGTGATTTGTTAACACAAGTCATCATCAGTCATTACAGTACAATCCAATACTGTGACTTTTGTCCTCATGATGAGTTAGTAGCAGTTGTTTTATCTCACTGTTCTGTTGAATTATGAAATATTAAATCTCTGTCAAAAGTGGCATATTGCAGGGGACACGAGCTGGGTTCACTGTGTGACATTTTCACCAGATGGATCTTTAATACTGACATCATCTGATGACCAGACAAATGCATCTGGAAGACAAAGAAGGTGCTCAAGTCTTCTCGTGCTATGCTGAAAAGTGAACTAGATGTTGTATTTCTCAATGGTGAAGTTTTAGCAATTTACAACCAGAACCAACTACACTTATCAATGGAAATACAGACAATGTCATTATGCAGACAGCAACACAAGAATCCCTCATTTCCTGCTGTTGCATAAGTGAAGATCTTAAATACAGCTGTTTACTGTCTGAAAATTTCTTCAAAAGATACTGGAGAACTACAAATAATTGCTTTGATTCACAATTTTATCACAGTCTGTAAAACACACATGAAAAAGAAACCTTGAAAAGCAATTGTAGCACCCTAAACACTAACAGGCTTGTATTTGATTGCTCTAGATGTAGCTTTGTGGTGGAGTGGAACTGAACTTGTCTTGAGATCAATGGAAAGCCTCCTGTTTAATATTCTTTAAGTATTTTCCCATCAGTTGACATTTTATCATTACTCTTATAAATTTCGAAGGCAAGGGCTGAACTCAGATCTCGGTTATGCCGATGGAAATCCAGAATAACAACATAAAATAATATTGTCAGTCTAGCTTTATGCTAAAGTAAATGAAACTATAGTCTGACTATAGTGTCACACCAAAACCAAACTTCACACATAAACCAAACTTTACAGTCATGAGGATTCACTAACACAGCTCAAGCCAAGTACTAAAAGACCTGGCATTTTATCTACCTGGATCTGAACAGAGTTTATGAATGTGCCTGCCCTCACTCAGGAGATCCACTGTTCCAAAAGGACTGCTGTGTAAGGTCAAAGGCTGAAGAGAACATCCTCTGCCACATGACAGAGTCAAAATGTTCTATCCCTGACATTTTGAAAAAAAGAAGAATTGACTCTCATCCCACCTCAAAGAAACCCCTACTTGATGTCTGTGGTGGTGCATTCCCCTGCCCCTCTCCTCAGTCTGGGCCACTCAGGAATTTTCATTAGGCCTCAGCCTTGATTAATGGCTCCTGCGAGTTAAGCTCACCCTTGAGCTTAGAAACAATGTCTGCTTCTGGGAACTTCTGCTGCCTCACCAACTCCTGTTGGCTGACAGGCAGCCTCGAAACATTATTTACTGAACCATTAGCCCAGATCACAGAATTATTAGGGTTGGAAGGGACCTCTGGAGGTCAGCTAGTCCAACGCCCATGCCATAACCTAGAGCAGGTTACACAATGCATCCAGATGGGTTTTGAATGTCTCCAGAGAGGGAGACCCCATGTCCTCCCTGGGCAGCCTGTTCTAGTGCTCTCTTTCTCATGTTGAGGTGGAATGTCTTGTGTTTTAGCTCATGCCAATGCTCCCTGGGCATTGGGCATCACTGAAAAGCGTCTGGCACCATCCTCTTGGCACAGACCTTTGACATGTTTATATGATATGCATTAATGAGATCCCCCCTCACTCTTCTCTGGACTGAACAGGCCCAGCTCCCGCAGTCTCCGCATAATGTTGTAAATGGCTTACGCAGAAGTGATGGTGAACGGGAGGTTGGGTTTTGTGACAAGCCAAGCTGGTGCAATCCCGTTCAGGGGCTCTGCGGCCCCCATAGTAACAACTTTAACCGTTGTTGCAGCTTCCATAGCCAGGGTGAAAAACAACGGCATATATAGAAAGCCACCAGGGGTCCCTAAAGACCCCCAAACCCACAGCAAGGTGCAAACAACCCCTTAAATGAAAGACGGTCGAACGTTCTGTAAAGTAAACCCTTCTCGAGGCTCAGCCCTCGCCTGCTGAGAGACGCCGGGAGTATGTCACTCTTAAGAGCGTTTCTGAAGGGCGGCTGTCCTCCCTGCAGGTTGTCTGGTCCCGGAATGAACACGTGTAAACAACGTTTTTCCTGTTACTTTGCTGCAAATGTAACAGACACTACCCCGCTGAGCAGATGCCCCTCACAGACCGGCGAGCTGCTGCCTCCTCGCGGGCAACCACCGGCCCCGCGCGCCGCGCGGCCTCACCCGCCGCAACGCCCCGCCCCGGCGCGCGCCCCGCACCCGCGCCGCTCCAGCCAATAGACGCCAGCACGGCGCGCTTCCCGCCAATGAAGAGCTTCAGCGCAATTTAGTCCCGCCCACCCTGGTCATAAGAGCGCGGCGAGCGCGCGAGCCCGGCGTTGGGGCCGAAGGGGGGGGGGGGGGGGGGAGAGAAAAGGTGATAGAGGCCAAGATGGCGGCGGCCGAGGAGGATCCCGCGCGGGAAAATGGCAGCGCGGACAGGAGGGCCGCGAAGGGCGGCAAACAACCTCAGCGTTTCATCCCGGGCTCCGTCGTTCGAATCTTTATGAAGAATTTCCTGTGAGTGAGTGAATGAGTGAGGGGCGCTCTCCCCCACCTCGGGGTGCTGCGGCCTCCCTCCGCCCGTCCCTCCCGGCGGGCCTGCAGCCGAGAAGCCACAGCAGCGAAGCGGGGTTACCGCGGGTGGCGGCGGCTGCAAGAGGACTGCGCCAAGGGATGCCTTCCTTGCAAGGCGGTACCCTGTTTGGAGTGTGGAGTGAACCTACCGTTTGGGTTAGATGAGTGGAATGTGCGACTGTGGTACAGCAGGCAGTTGGAGTTAAATTGACTGAGCTCACTCAATTCTTTCTTTTTTTTATTTTTTTTTAATACGTAAAATAAAATTATACCCTAGTAAATTCAAGATAAATTATCATTATGTTGCTGATTTTCTTTCTTTATAATCACTAATTTTGAAGGAAGTTCTTGTGAGTACTCTGGCTGGCAGGAATCTGTCTGTTTCACGGAGTTTTGTTGAAATGTTAATTTTCACTCTTGAGGTTTTCTTACAAAATGGTGTTTGGCGATTGAGTTTAGATTAGGTAATTTTACCTTGTATTCAGTTAAATCATATATTGTTTTTAAGAAATTATTCTTTTTTTTCAAGCAAATATGGTGTCTATAAGATTAAAAAAATTACTGTGTTTTCCAGAATATATGATAGCTGTGAAGTATATCCAGGGCCCAACCTGAACGTGGTTGTAGGTGCTAATGGAACAGGGAAGTCAAGCATTGTTTGTGCCATCTGCCTGGGACTGGCTGGGAAACCTTCTTTCATAGGGCGGGCCGATAAGGTAACTATGAGCTTTTGTAATTTCATGTTGAATCTGAGTTTGGTTAAGAGCATTGTTCAGTGGAGGAAGGGGCGAAAGGCTCTTCCTTGATTTGCTTTATTTTCATAAAAGGTAGGTGTGCAAATTGAAGAATTGCCTATTCCAAAGGCAAAGCGTTTTACAAAGGGATTTTCTCTTTCTGAATTAATAGTTGTCTTGGATGAATTATGAAATGGAAACACCTGAATTATACTGCAGCCTGGGTGGACTAGATGTTATGTTTGAAGATGATTAAGCATCCATAGTGGGGCTAAAAAAATGCCCCCTAATGCCTAGATAACATTTGATCAGAAGTACCAACTAAAGGAGGAATAAACAAAACAGTGTAAATTAAATTTCTGAGTAGGTAGTATTTGTAGAAATAACACATCCTTAGTGTGTCTGAGAATATCTCTAAAAGTATGCTGGCACTGATCTTAGGTTTAAGTGGAATTTGGATTGCTCTACTACATTTACTTTTTTTTTTTGTTCCCAAGAGATCACGTGTTGACATTGTAGTAGGAAGTTTGTATTGTGTAATTTTTAAGTTTTGCAGTTGCTATCACGGATATTTTCGTTTTACACAATGTATTTGAGTAGATCTTTGAAGCAGTGAATCTGGGTGCCTAAGTGATTGTGTATATTCTCTTGTGGCAGCTGAGCCAGGAGCAAATGTAAATACAGAAATTGACTTCATGGCAGTAGTGTGTGTTGGTATTTTTATTGACTTTCCAGGATTGTTTTTATACTATTGGAATTGGTAGTTCTGTTGGTACAGATATTTGGCAGTATCTTTTCATTTGTATTCCCTTTGTTGTCCTGATTTGTGAGAACTTCCTCTCAGTGGATCTGCTGATGATAATTTGTTCGATTTTGGAGGTTGAAGTTAATCAGGAATAGTTAACTTGTGGAGGAAGTTCTAATGATGCTAGTTGATGTGCAAGATAAGTCTGTTTCTGTATCTTTAGTTAATAGTTTAAAAAAAAATTTTTAGTTGTACGTTTTCAAGAAAATATCCCATTGTGTCAGCTGTATTATACAAATGCATGTTTTTGTAAAATATTAACTTTTAATACTGTGCTGTTATTTTGTGATAACAATTTCTAAATTAATTTTCTAGGTTGGTCTCTTTGTAAAGCAGGGATGCACGAAAGGTTTAGTGGAAATTGAACTGTAAGTACTAAAACTGTATTTCCTCATTCACTTTTAATTAGATCATTTCTCCACTCAGTTATTCACAAAGCTGGGGAAAAAAAAAATTGGTATACAGAGGTCTGTCTTTAAGCTGGTGCTTTTTTCTCTTTTTATTACCCCCCAGACTTAAAAATTTTAAGATTAAATAATTACCACAGAAGAAATAAGCAGTGATGGCTACTCTTGATCTCACTTTCTGGAGCCTTTCACCTTGTCTTATGTAAAAAGAATGTATAGATAAAAATTGTTGTATATGGTGTGTTTAGATTTTGATGACATTTAAGCTTCATATGGTTCAAATACAATCAGCACTGCCATCATTATGTAGAGGTTGGAATTTTTTTGTTAAATTGAAAAAAGTCAAAGTCTAAATTTTGAAACAGATTGTTCTGCCTTCACTTTCTTATACTGATACTGGTAGTATGAGGAGCTCTCCTACATTCATACCAAAAACATTACATACTGACACAAAAAAACTAGAAGATCTGGCTCATTCTTGCTAATGCAGTCTTGTATGTAAGCTTTTGCAAAACAGACCAAATCAAAATCATTTGTACTTACTCTGTAAAATTTGTAACTAGTGATACAGGGCCATGTTACATGCTTCCTTGCTTTTTTGTGGATGCAATGACACAGGTGATTTTAATAAGCCTTAACCTGGTCTGTTCACCTGACCTAAATGAAAGATAGAGATAATCAGCTAATTCATAACCTGTGTTAACAATTGGCCACCCTGATCAGATTGCATAAAAAGAAAATTATATTAAGGAAAAAAATAGTGGAACAGGCCTCTGAACAAGACCTGTCCACTTTTGTTCTTGTGGAAGTGAATAAAGACGACATTCTTTGAAGACTGGCCAAGCAGTAGGTCAGGAGGTAGGATGTTTTTCAGGGTAGATGGTGTTATTATTTTGGCATAAATGCATCCTGATGTTACATGAAAGTCTGGAAAGAGTCTTGCAGTGTGAAGACTTAGCATTTTTACTCTAGTGGTTGCAATGCAGTTGAGTCCTTTATCTAGTTGGTAGAAAATACTTAAATACAACATTTAGATTGAAAGACCAGTGATGCAGAAGATTGCATTTTGACAGGAATTGAAAAATTTGAGTTCTGTAGGCATATACTGTGCTGGTTGAATTTTACCCTTGAATTATAATTAAAATCAGGTTATAGTAGTAAAAGTCTTTAATTTGATAAAAGAAAAAGAGCACGGCTTTCTATGTCTCTTGAAGGAAGTCTGATAGAATAATGTAATCGAGGAAAGAATCATCCAGTCTTCAAGAAGTGGACTCATATCCCTATGGAACTTAATCCGAAAGCTGGCAGCAGATGCATATTCACTTTACATTGATCTCTGTTCTTAAGTCTCCTGAGCTATGTGGCCACTAAACTTTTACAAGCCTGTGTTTTCCAGTTTTAACAATATGCTTAACAGGCACTAGACAATTTCTAAATCAAAATTATAGCCAAAATTTGACTTACCTCATTGCTCATTTGTTATTGATGCATCTTAAACAGACTAAACTTCTGAAAATAAGTGTTGAGTTAGAGAACTAAATAGGCAATTAATGTGTTTTTACTGGTTTTTAAAAGCAGAAAATGAAAATTAGTATTTTTATGCTTTATGATGTTGTTTTTATTCCCAGATGGAGTATGTATGCACAGCTTATTGATATAGTTCTGTACACTAATGCTTTATTTTAAAGCCTTACAGCTGGTGTGTACCTCCTTAATGCCAATTTTTAAACTTACTAAATGTCAAACAAAAAAATTACACTTTCATAGAAACTGTTAACATCTGCAACAACTTTTGAATGTTTCATACATTCAGCATGAGCATCTCATTTATGTAAATTACTTCCTCTGAGTTAAGATTTTCAGATGTTCTAGGATGCTTTCCATATGAGTTTAGTTCATCACTGAAGTACTGGATGTTTTCTGAATGATGAAATGAGAATGTGATGCTACTGTCCAGTTATTTAAATATTTAACTGTCTAAAAATTCTAATAATACTTAGACACTTGGTAAACTTTGTGTATTCTCAAAAATGTAAACACTTATTTTTACTAATCAGGTTTAAGCCACCAGGCAATATTATTATCACCCGTGAGATTCAAGTGGTGAACAACACATCATCGTGGTGGATCAACAGAAAGCCAGCAACCCTGAAAACAGTAGAAGAACACATTGCAGCTTTGAACATCCAGGTGGACAATCTGTGCCATTTTCTTCCTCAGGTATGGATGAATCAGACCAGCTGCCCTGAGGCCTAATCAGCTGACTGGGGGTGGAGCCAAGCTCCTTGCCAGGAGATTTAAACTGCTCCTGGGAGCACAGTGAACAGGAGTGGGCAGACAGGGGTGTGGCATTGCAGTTTGCACAGGCAGGGCAAGCAGGAAGGGCACAGGCACCCTCCCAGCTCTTTCTGATGAGTTGTGAGGTAGGTGTGTGGCACTGGGTATTTTTCTTTTTTTTTCCACAACTCGACCCAGCAATGGTTTCCAAACAAGTGAAAGCCATTGCTGCTGATATCAGGAGGAGTGTGCTAACCCAAACAGAACCCCTCAAGAAGGGCACAGCTGTTCGGGTCACTGGCTGTAGGGAATGTCTGAACCTGGTGTTAGTACCAGAGGACAGTGCAAGAGGCACCTGCGTATGATGCGAGCGGGTGATTGATTTGCTGTGCTTAGTGGCAGAGCTCAAGGAAGAAGTGGAGAGGCTAAAGAATATTAGGGAAAGTGAAAGGGAAGTAGTCTGGTAGAGTCACACTCTTGCAACCCCCTGCCCCTCCTGCCATCAGACAGATGGAGCAAACCAAGTAGATGGGGGGAATGGAAACAGGTCCCCAGTCGCAGAGGTAAAAGAATCCCCTGCCGACCCCCGTCACCTCCCATGCTGTTGTTAAAGAACAGGTATAAGGTCCTGGACCAGAGAATCACGCAGAGGACAGTCAAGAAGAGGATCTGTCTGGAGAGTCTCCAGCTTGCACCCCGTCTAGTAGATGGGTTATAGCCACAGCCATAAAGAAAAAAGAAGGGTAACTGTAGAAGGCAAATCTCTTCTGAGGGGAACTGAAGGCCCTATATGCTGACCGGACCCATCCCACGGGGAAGTCTGCTACCTTCCCAGGGCCTGGGTGAGGGATAGTAGAAGACTCCCTGAGCCCTCTGATTATCCACTGCTGGTGTTCCAGGCTGGCAGTGATGACTGTACTGAAAGAGGTACCAGGCTAATTAAAAAGGACTTCAAGGTGCCGGGTCAGTTAGGTAATGGGACAGCAGCGCAAGTGGTGTTTGCCTCACTTTCTGCAGTAGCAGGGATGAGTGAGGAGAGGAGTAGGAAAACCCATCTTAGGTGGCTAAAAGATTGGTACCACTGGCAGAATTTTGGTTTTTTTGACCATGGAGCAAATTCTGTCATACCCAGCCTGTTAGAGTCAGATGGGCATCATCTATCTAGCAAGGGCAAAAGGACTCTAGCCCATAAGTTGTTGGGGTGATCAGGAGGGCTTTAAACTAGGTTTGAAGGGGAAAGGGGTTGAAACCAGGCTTTCCAGAGATGAGCTTCAGGGTGGAAAGCCAGGTTTAGAAGTGAAGTCAGCAGCCCAGCTCAAGTGCGTGTACACTAGTGCACCCAGCATGGGAGCTGGAAACCAGTGTGCAGCAGGAAAGCTGTGATGTAGTCACCATCACAGAAATGTGGTGGGATGACTCGCATGAGTGGAATGCTGCCATGGATGGCTACAAGCTCTTCAGAAGGGTTGGGCAAGGTAGGAGAGGTGGAGGGGTGGCTCTATATGTTAGAGAATTTCTTCTGAGTCTGTAGAACTTGAAATCAGTAATGATAGTGTTGAGTGCCTGTGGACCAGAATCAGGGGGAAAACCAACAAGGCTGACATGCTGGTGGGAGTCTGTTATAGACCACCCAATTAGAATGAAGAGGGTGATGAATTATTCTACAAGCAGCTGGCAGATATCTCAAATTGCCAGTTTAGGACTTTCAGCATACTCTGCTAACATAACTTCGTATTGAAAACAACTTTTTCTCTTCAGTACATAAATGTCAGTTTAGTCGGTAATACTGTGTTGATAGGGTTTATTTGTTCTCTGCCACTGTATCAATGGCAAGCACACCTTTTGCTTCAGTCTTGGTTTTGAGCTATTCTTCTGCCCTTACCACAGCAGCAATACTTCCTGGTGGCCTTGGCTGCCATCTTTAATATTCATTTCTATGTGACTTAACTTTTGAGTTAGTCATAGCATTCCTGCTGCAAAGGTGTAGCTTGAGCAGCCTGAGAACAAATGTTTAGAAGAGCTGGATTGCTCCTCTATGAGATGGTAATGAACTATGCTAGAGCTATCTGGCATAGAACTGTAAATCAGGTGATGTTCATGAGAAGTAGGTTGCAGGATATAAATCCAGTATTACTGTATTGCACTGTTTTAGCTATTCCTGTATTTTTGTAACTTTTTTCTCATTTTGTAGGACAGAGTTGGAGAATTTGCAAAACTGAGTAAGATCGAATTGCTTGAAGCCACTGAAAAATCGATTGGTTCTCGAGAAATGTACCAGTTCCACTGCGAACTAAAAAGCTTCCGAGAAAGGGAAAGAGAACTGGAGGTAAATAATGCGCTATGTAGAGACAGAGCAGTGACTGGAGGGAAATTATCATGATAAAACTTAACATGAGATCTTACAGAATTAGAAGGTGATATTTATTTCCCAAGTCTGTAAGTTGATTTTACCAAATAATGCTCATCTTCTCTCAGGATTCATTTCCTCTGACACTCACATGCTTATAAGTACAAGGACATGTGTGCAAGTGATCTGGACACAGAGAACAAGGGATGTCAAATACTTATCTCTTTGGAATTCTTGACTGGCAGCAACTTTTCTGGACAGATCCTTTTATGTCTTTTAGAAGTCATCAGCTATTACAGGATGGTCCTTTGCTTTAATCTTGCTGACTTAAACTTCCATAGAAAGGAACAGACAAAGAGGAAAAGGAACAGTGTTCTGAGAATAGTGTCTCTTCTTAGCCATACAGGCCATTAGTTTAATCCTTTCTTCTGCTGTGTCTTCTTGTGCTTACACTTGTGCATTTTCACTCATACTTGTTACACTCTTGTACTAACCTTGCTGTTTCTGTTGCCTATTTCTATATGGTCTTTTACAAGCATTTTTTTAGTAGTATTTATCAAAACTAGTTAGATGTTTAGAAACATATAGGTTAATGAAGGTTTGAGCTTAAAGAATTAATTTCCTCAACACATTTAAAAAAACCCAACATGAACTTTCTTCAGGTTAGGATTAATGTTTGAATTAGTTTTATTTTCACAGAAAGTATGTGATTGTCATTCATGGTTTAGTGGCCCCACTGTGACTCTCCAAACCACACTGCTGCTCGCTTGTTCCCCTCTCCTCTTCCCCATGCAGGTGGTTGGAGAGAATTGGAGGCACAAGATCAGGGCTCGAGATGAGAAGAGGTTACTGGAAACAGCAGGGAGATAAAATGCATAGTAACAGCACTGATATTAATAACAAAAATGTACAAAAGAGAAAGTGATTCACATGAAAAATGCTCACCATGGGGCTTGACCTGACCACAGCCATGCCACTTCTGGCTCAGAACCAGCAGCCACCCAACTGCTCCCGCCAGCTCAGAGCCAGTGCTGGGCTGAGCTCCCCCAGAAGGAAGCCTTTCTCCCTCGGAAGAGAGACAGGACAACTATTCCAAGTTGGGTTGTACCCCTCTATTTCCTGCTGTACTAAAATGTCCCCTCTAGTGTTAAATTTCTGCTTTAACATACAGGTGAGATGTGGACTGTTTCTGAGAAATGTGTTCACCAAATAGATGCTTACATTGCAGCACTTGTGCAGAGAAAAAACTAACTCATTGGAGAAAATGAAACAGATGATTGAACGATACAAGCAAGATGTTGACAGATACCTAGAGCACAAGAGCCACATAGATTTGATAGAGATGCTTGAGAGGAAAAGGCCTTGGTTGGTAAGTTTTCTTTTATTTTCAGTGTTTTCCTTGCCTAACCCATTTTTTGTAATACCCCAAAATTGGAAATAGGCCAAAAGTTGCTTTAAAAGAAGTTTGACCAGAACAGCTTGAATATCACTATGATTGCTTAATGCAGACAACAGGTCAGGTCTTGAAATACTGTTCTTGGCCTAACTGTGATCAGATGTTTGCTTACATATCTAGCTGGACTGAAGAAGTTGCTTCAGAAGTAATTCAAGCAGTTATTATTTCCCATTTAGGGAAGCCAACAATACAGACCAGGAGCAGTAGTTTATTGTGTGCAGACACTACTGGTTTAATTTAAGTGCTAGCCAGTTGTACTACTTCCTGCTGTAACTTTTTTTTTTTCTCCATATTTTTGCTAGGGTTTTTGTCTTTACAGATTGCATTCTCCCTTAATTTTTTAGTTGAGGTTTGGTGTACATGACATACATGACAGTGAATTTAGGTTGCCAATCTCAAAAATAATAGTGTCTGGACAGATAGAAATTTTAAAACAAATTTAAAAGAGCCTAGAATGAAGAACAGGTTGTTTACACAAAACAAAGTCTTTCTGAACAGCACTTCGATAATTGTAGTTTAGTGTTGAATGGTTGGTCAGATTAAATTTTTCTAAAGAGTTTAAACTGATGTGGGTTTCAGTTTACTGAAATGTTTGTCTCATTGGCAAGCTTTCTAGAGTTCATGAAATAGAGTTACAGAACTTGCAAGAAAACTTGCATGTACTATTTGTGGAGAATGCGGAAAGCTTCCTAAGTTATTTTGTTGCAATTTTGCATATAACAAAGCCTCACATGGCTATATATAAAAAACTTTACATCTTGAGCAACTGGGTTCAAGGGATGTACCATCACTGCCTTAATCTTTTTCGTAACAGCACAGAGGAGTAGTAGTTGAAATAGATGGATGGTGGTAGGTAGGAAGTAGGGTATACAGTCTGTGATGTCAGCACTTGCTGAATGATGCAAGGTTTTCGTACTGCAGATGCATTAGTTAACAATGAGTTAACTGGCTGAGTTAACAAGAGAATTATTTTATTAAGAGAGGTGTAGGTGTTGTGTAGATAATGTAGATTGATACTGATTGTTCTCTAAGATATTTGTATATACAGGACTCTGAAGGCTGGTTGGAAACTGGCATGGGGACAACTAAACTAAGAAATTTTATCTGCTGTCAGTTAAATTGCCTTCCATAAGTTTGAGAACATTACTGTTAGTTGCATGTTTCTTAAGCAAATTTAGTGAAACTCCTTCACACCTTACTCTCAGTGCTGTCTTCCAGACAGTTTGTGTTGCTCCGTATGTTAAATGCTTTTGGTGGGTGCATTTAGTTGAGATAAATTTAACTTTCTGGCCACTGAATCCATAGAAACAACAGTGTGTTTTGACACTTTGTTAAGCTCTGATTTATAATACGGACTCAGTAGTGTATACTAGAATGTTTTAGTAGAAGTCACCTCCTTAATCACCTGCATAATCTACAGAAGTCACCTGCATAATCTACAGTTGAAATCAAAAGTCATCATCAACATAATTATTTTACTAGGTAGAGGATATTCGAGCTATGGGCAGCAACAAAATTTCACATTCCGTTGCCATTTTGTGGTTTGTCCAATCGTGGTAGAACTCTTGCTATTCTCCTACATTGCAAAATATCAAACTCTCTCTAAAAGAAGAAATGCATTGTCTTAAAAGTGCATGTTTCTTTGTTGTCTGACCTAGCACTGTGTAGTCCTAAGAATAAATGTTTTTGGTGTCTTCAAATTGGGTTTACCAAAGTTGAGGGTAGTATGGGAGTTAATTCTTCCTTGAGTGGATGTTTTCTCTCCTCCATCCTCTCCAAAAGGGAGGTTTCTACTTGCAGACCAAACACACCTAGCTGTTTAGATTTACCTCTGTAAGAAAACAGAAGCTGTAGGTCAGCCTTCAAATCAGGGGGAGGCAGATATATGAGCTTTGCGTTATGTTATGAAATAGGAAGACAGGCAGCCTGAAAACATGTTAACTGAAATATGACATTAGACAATCTCTTGATCCTAATGGAAAAGGAGATATCTAGTGCTGAACTTCTTTAATGTTCTGACCACACTCAAAGTGCATTTTTATTCTGAAAACTCTACTGCTCTTCACCTGAGCAACATGTTTCTAATCAAGCATTTTTCTCTAGACAGGACCAACAGTTTCTCTTTTGAGAATTATGCACCATTTTTATGCATGTCTGCCTAATAAGCTTTTGAACATGTGCTTTAAATTGCGTAGAATGGACCGTAGGAGTACAGCGTTAAAGGATTTAGGGTATACTTTATGTTCTTGTGTGTACCTTAGTGGGGCTTGCATCAAGTGATGGTGTCATCTACAGTCAGTGCTGCAGGGGCTAGGGGGTTTTGTTTGACACGGATAATCCATCTTTTATAAAGCCTTACAGAAAAGGGGTTTCTTACCCCTCAAAGCTTAAAGTTAAGGTTGTGGTGTACCATAAGGAATACTGGTTTAAGGTAGTTTAATGGCAGGAAATGCTGTTCTGCCTGCTGCTGTAAATGTCCTGGAAACACATAATTTTGAAAATGTGTTTTGACCAAGCCATGTCCATTCTTTTCCTCCTCTGACATTTACAATTGAGAAAAATACTGTTCTCTGATTAAGATGCAAATCTTTTGGTGCTGAAGTGCTTTAGAAGTTCTGCAGATCTTTAACAGGGTACATAATTACAAGGATCAAAGTTATTTGCTTAAGGATTACTGAAATATAGAGGTCTTGTGAAAGCCAAGTTTTCTTAAGTGATAAAGGGATCAACTGTATAAAACCAGTGTCATGACAACTTCTAGGAAGAAGTGAAACATAATTGTATGTGTGTGTATTTGCTTTAACCTTGAAACTTAACTTCTTTAAAGCAGAGCTAAATTTTAAGCTTATTCTTTCAGCCTAGTGAAAGTATGATCACTTTACCTCTGTAACTTTGTAACACTGGCTACTGATCATACTCCACATCAGTTACAGCAGCTTTCTTCAAATACTTTTTGGCCTTATGAAAAAGATGCTATGAAAAAAGACCTTGAATTTTATAACCTATGTTGATGTATTTGTGATTAATCAGGGTAATTCAGTAACTATGAAAACGCGGTAGCAGATAAAGCTGAGTTAGCTGTTACAGATAGAGCTTCCAGGCTGTTTTTATCTATTATTATTTTAATGCTCCAAGGCTTGGAATAAGCTAGGCATATGCTCTAAATCAGGGGCTTTCTTTAGTGTATACAAAATCAAACAGCTCTCCCTTCCTCGATCCCCCTGCATACATCAATCTACTCCTCCTCCCTCTGGTCCTCTGAGCACCTTTTTTACTCAGGAGCCCTTAACAGTCCTGGAGCAGTAATGTTCTTTTGTTTCTTTGTTTGTTTGGGGTTTTTTCCATCCTCTTTTTTTCCCTCCAGAGAACATAACACATGAAAAAAATCATTGACAATGACTCTTTGAGTTTTAACTGCTTTCTCCTCAAAATTTCTACCTTCTTGAAGTGGAAATTCTTGGTCACCATCCTTCTTACCATCTCTTTCCTTTCAGGAATGTTATCTCCAGTTAAACTTCCTAGATAGTTACTTCTTTGCTATTTGTATGGTGGTTTTGTTTGTTTTCTGAAGTTCTGTTCCACTCTGTCCTCTTGGTTTAGTTCAGCAGAGTTATGTGTGTTACTAGGTCTGATCTGTCCAGCTCCTTTCCTTTTCTTTCTCCTGAAGTTGTCTGTGGTTATTTACTCCTTAGCTTGAGGACTTCTGCTTAAATAGTCTCAAATTATGGACAGAAGGGGTAAAGAATTACTTTTCCACACCGATCCCAGATGGACTTAGAGGCAAGGTAATTGCAGACAAATTGGTTGTTTCTTCTGCAACTTGAATTGTATATTTTTTAAGAACCAATTAATGTGTGTGCTTGTTCACTGGGGACTGAGTAATCCTTACAACTCCTAGTCAGTGTGACTAGTAACAGGAGGATTACTTAAGTAGTTGTTCTAATACTAGGTTCTGAAAGAGATCTTTCTCCTAAAACACATAATAATTAAATAAAATGTTAGGGCAGTATAAAATGCTGGAGTAGAAGATGGAAGTCTTTAATTATTTTACTTTCAACTCCTCCAAGGAATATGAAAGTGTTCGTATGCAGTATATGGAAGTGAAACAGCGCAGAAACAAAGCCAAGAAAGACCTGGAGATTCTGAAAGAAAAACAGTTCCCAAGGGCAAAAAAAATCCGAGAAGCTGAAGAAAATTTGAACAGTCTGGATTTGAAAACAAGAGATAATGTAGGTATTGAAATTCTTGGTTAACATGTGTTATATTTCAGATGTTCTTTGTTCAGCTTTGTGAAATGTCAAGTAATAACTGCTTGCTTTCTCATGTGTCATGATGCTGTGTTTCAGAAGAAGTTTTTCTGAAGCACCTGTGCCGTTGGTTCCTGTTGCCTTTGTATCTCTTTTCTAGGCATACATTCCTTAGTAAAAATTCAGAAGCAACTCTGAAAGTCTGCTCTTGGAGCAAATTTTATAATTCTTTTCACAGGGATATAATGTTAACAGTTTCCCCAAGTTAGGTACTTCTGTTGAATTAGATGCTTGTGTTATCTGTGGTTTGGATTTGTGGATGCTCTTATCTTCTTAAAATGTAGCCAGTTTGGGTAGTTAATTTAAGTTAAATTACAGCTTTTATGGTCTATCGGATTCCTTTAATATTGAATGTCATTCCGTGAGGGCACAGTAATCCTCCATAGGTTGTGAATATTTTTATGCATAAGGGAATTTAATGGTAAACCTACCTATGTGTTACAACCTACTCCCTGTTTTTTGGATAGCTGCTATGAGGGTTTATGGAAAATTACTATTTCTGTATGAAAAATAGTACTGTAGTTCTCTGCAGAGTTTTAACTACTATGTACTGTTGAGACTGCAGAAGTCATTGTTTGTATGAGCTGCATGAATTTTTAGTGGATAACTGAAGATAAATGATAACATGAGAATGTTCACTGCATTGAGTTCTTTTTGAAGATAACTGATCGGATCAGAGGACTTGATATGGAGATATGTGACACCTGTAGAGAACTGCTGCCTCGAAGCATCTTGTAGAATCAGGGTCTGAAACTTCAGTGGCATTTACCACTCTGTGAACTACTGGGCCATGCATGTGGTTGCTTTAAAAATAAAAAAGGCAAACACCCTTACCCCAAACAAAAAACAGATCCAAAACCAAGCCAGAAAAAAGACAAACAAAATCCACAGATTGTTGTTCACAGCATTTCTGTTTTGTTGTGATATAACTGTACCAGAAAATATAATTTACACAAGTACCTCACTATTATTGTTATTATTAGGAAAACCTTTTGCTAAATGTATTCTTTGGATTTTGTGTACCACATTACTACAAAAGTTTATTATATTGTGATTCAGAATACTTAAATGTTTAAAAATATTGCAGTTTTATTGAAATGGACTTTTTTGCTGTAGTTATGTTTTTTGTTTTGAAGGTTTTTGTTGTTGTTTGAAGTTTTGCTCTTCCTTAGAGGAAAGTTAACAGCTGGAAGCTTGAAATTAATTTTCATATGCAGTAAGAGCCTTCATGCTTGTTAATGGATAAGCTTTGTTTTCACTGCTTGGTGTTATCCTGCTAGGTTTTACTCATCTTTCAGTTTAATGGATGTTGTACTAATATGTTTTCTTCAAACAGGAAGGAGTTCTACTTAACCATTGGTATCACTGTTCTTGGAAGTGTTGGGCTATAGTCATAAAAAAGTTATTTTCTGTAGATCTTTTGTACTCTGTATGAGAAACCTAGGACAAAACAGGGATCGTTTTAGTTTTAACTTGCAGAGAGCTTGCTTGGCATAGGCTGCTTTGTACAAAGTGGAAGAAAAACAGGGGAATGTACTAGCTGATTGATTTATACTCTTGAATCAGCGTATTTTTCTGCTCAGTCTAAACTTGTGGAGTAAAGCTTTCACATACAAAATGTTCACAAGGTTAACTGTATGCTGAAGTGATGTTTAGTTTGGGCTCGGAAAATGGATTAGGTACATCTGTTTGCAATATTTCAGAAGCCAGAAGTGGAAAGCAGTATTAGAATATTGCAGTAAGTGTTCTATAAATTATTTACATGAAATGTAATATTCTAATACTACTTTCAGTGATTAGTTACCATTAGTTACTATTTTGTATTTAATTTATAGCTGATACTATGCTATATGTAATATTATAGTAAGACATTTCCAAATCTGAGTTTTGTTCTGGTGTTAAATAGTGTGTCCAGGTCTAATTTGAATGATGATTATTCTGTCTTGGATGCATACAGTCCAGAATTGTGGAAAAAGACTTAAGGGAATGTATTATATACTTGGTTATGGCATGAACAATTTGTAAGATAGTAGGCCAGTGAAGATGATGTTAGAGTTTTGCTACTTTGTGAATTTTTGTGACAGTAGCTTTTCTTTGGGTGCTGAAATCCATTTCCCTTCTACATAACCTTCCTGTTGAGCTGTTAGAATGCCTTCTATAAGGAGAGTCATTGCTGGTTGCACTGTCACGAGTTTCACAAGAGTTTTAAATACCAAACTGTTTAAGTTGCTACTTCTTCATTAGTGTGTCACTTTTTTGTAGACTGCTTGAATTTTTTTGTAACTTCAAATTCCATCTTTGTAGGTGCAAGCATTTGGTGAGCATTTCATAGATAATTCTTCTGTAAGCAAACAGGAGTTGATTAAAGAATGATTTTATTATAGAAAAAGTGTAACTATTCTGACCCAAAAGGAGTTTCTTTTCAAGCTAAATGTCAAAAGCAGTTTAGTATTTTAAGTCTGCTCTATTTTGGGCACATAGACCTGTAGGGAATGGTCTTCAGACCCTTTGGTCAAGGTTTGTATCCATTATCAAGTAACTGTAATTCTCACTGCTTCTTGAGATCTTGCTCTTGGCTTGAGGGTATATATGTGAGAGCAGAGATCAACCATCTCTTTGTCTTTGTTGGTAAAAAGCTGGGCGTGGAGTTAAAATTTTGCCTGGAAGGCAAAACTGAACTGAAAGTAAAGGTAGAGCTAAGTCTGGGAAGAAATTAGTGTGTCAAGACATCATATGACTTTTGTTCCTGTCTCTTCCTGTTTTAAAATTCTTTTGATTATTGGGTTAGATTAAAAATTACTAGTCAGAATTGGTGCTTTGGGATTGTTGGATGTGTAGATTGTGGGGAAAAAAGGAAGAGACCTGTTTTGTAGGAAGGAGTTGATAAAATTGTATAAGAGAAGTCTAGAACAGTTTTTGGTTCAGTCTCTTTAAAGGTGTATGAAGACAGTTGACTCTGAAATGCAATTTTTTATCCATATTTAATAGTATAAAGCGGTCTGTGGTGGCTGTACCATGAAAATCATAAAGACAGTTATAGTTATTTTTCTGTAGGGTAGGTGTATATATAAATATATAATAACTGAAAATATAATAATTGAAAAGTGGAATTTCAGTTCCTTAATAGTGTCCTGATTTTGAGAGCCTTCAGAATTGTTTTGTGAACATTGTGCATCAATTTCCTGGGAGAGAGCTTCCTCTTCAGATGCTCTTTGGAGAGAGCAGTCAGCTGCAAGACCAAGATGTATTTGTTCCATTTTGCCTTCATGCAAACAGCTGTGGAGTCTGAGTCTCAAGTTTTTGTGTATCTTTGAGATTGTGGAAGGGAGAAGATTCTGCGTAGTTCTATTTTCTCCATTCTTGGTGCATCTTGGTATTTTCCGTATGACTCGGTTTGTAGGAAGATGTGTCCTTTGGTGAGAGTGCTGTTTGTTTCCTTGTCTGCGTTGGAATTTTCTTGCAGTCCTTCCATCCTTCTGTAGTGTTCCAGTATTCTGTTTGCACTGTTTTCAACCTTGAGGATGCAGGAAAGGAGGAATTAATTTTGCAGAGAAAGCATAGTACACTCCACTGCATTCAGAACTCAGGTGTGTAAGTGCCTGGACACTAATAAAACCTAGTCTGAGAAAGGAATTGGACTGGGAGTTGCCAAAAAGTTCCTTCCGATCTATGTTATTACACAGCTTTATAGAATCTGCGGATAGAGGAAGAGTAGAGACATGGATGCCTACACATGAGCCAACAAGTTGTCAAGCTCAGCTGTGTAGGGTGTAGCTTCAGCACAGTCCACTTCGGAGGCAAGATAACTGTCAAATTCTGTTTGGCCAGCTCGTGTCTAGGAACTCACGCCTTGCTTGCTCTTAAGTATCAGCTTTCCTTGGTAAAGTTGGTTTGGAAAAAGGGGCAAAAACACTGTATAATTGTAAGGATCTGAATATATAACATTTTTTGAAATCAAGGATGGAGTTACTTTAATTTCAGATTAGGTTAGAATGCTTCCTCTGTGTGTCATGCCAGAACTGGCAGATCTATAGCTGAATGGTTGTGAACAGTTTGCATGCCATTCTAAATTCTTCACAAATTGCTGAAATTACATGTTACAGATACAGTTAAGAATAATAAAAAACTGTAAGTTACTTTGTCATTAGTAAAATATGGAGTAAATGCTTAATTATGTTATACGGTATGTTGCTTAAAATATGACTGCTTATTACAAGTATAACTGAATTTATGACTACAATTTAAATACCTTTCTGTATGCAGACTGCTAAAATCATAGAGATTTCCCAGAGAATTAAACAGAAGCAAGATGCTTTGGAGATGAAAGAAAAAAAGGTAAAAGTCTTGATATTTGTGACTTTCTTTGGTGTTTCTCTGGGTTTTTTTGTCTGCTCTTCTGTTAGCGGAGTGGCACATTTCCATGAAGATGCTGTAAGTGCTTGCACACTTCACTTCCTCCACTACACAAGGAATCTTCAGAACTCCTGTTAGTCAAACAGGTATTACTAAGGGATGTGTGTATGCTACATAAAATGAGTTGCAACGAACTTGGGAATAGACAATGTGTGTGTATAAATGTGGATATATACACACACTATATATGACAGGCTTTCCTTGAAAAGCTACGGTCTTTGTAGTGATGCCTTCAGCATTATGAATGCCCTCAGACCCTCTGTGTGAGAGGTGAGATAGTTGCTTCTGGCAAGTGTATGTATCCAGCATCTCTCCAAAAGAAAATGCAAAGATGTTAACCAGTGCTGGAGCTTAATCTAAGCACTTGGTCAAGAAATGCATTAGGTAAAATGTACAAGGGTGCAGAGTCAAAATTTCAAAGTTGTGTTTGTGCTAGAGGTTTTATTTAATCACAGACTAACTTTCTGATGTGTTAAGGAATATGTTAAGCTTTAGACTTTTGGTGAAAATGAAGGAACTTCAATAATTGTTTTAAAGGCCTAATTGTATTTTTGCTTATGTACTTCAACTGTCATAGTGCTATTGGAATTGTTACAGACTCTTAGGGGTTGAGTGTATGGTTATATCAGCATTTAATATCAGTTGTACAGTTATCCTAGGCATTTGTATATATGTATATTTATAGACTAGGCTCTATATACTAAACTCCTTTCTTATTGAAAATACTCAAAATTTTTAGATTGAAGAAATTAAACAAGCACTGAGAATGAAAAAAGATGAAGAAATGGACAGACAGAAGAAAATACACACTACTCAGGAGATAATAGAGATGTGGAAGAATGAACTGAATACAATGACAGTATGTGAGAATCTTCAGCCACAAATTGATGCTGTTAATAATGAACTGAAAAAATTACAAGAAGAAAGGACAAATATCGATAGTGATGTCAGTGATCTAAGAGCAGAGAAAAGGAATCAAGAGAGAGAAGAGAAAAGTAAGTTACTTGGGTTTTTGTTTGTTACTTTATTTTACTGCGTTAATGGCTGTACAGAATCTACTTTTCCTGCTGTAGTGAAATAATTTCAGGTGTTTACCTCAAGCCTCATAGTTGGCATATGTGTATAGCAGTCCTCTCTCCTGTTTTATTAAAAGTAACAGATAAGACTTTCAAAATAGAATGAGAAGATTCAAAAGTAACAACTGACCTTAAAACTATTCTCCAAAAAATTAGTATTTCTGATCTCAGGTAAGGGAACTCCTTTTGGGATTTTTTTTTTTGGTTACTAAAGGAAGGTGTGTAGTTAGTGGGAAGCAGAAATAAAAACAGTTTTCTTTCAAGAGGCAGTTTTTACAATTATCTCTTTAATAAATCATGGCTAGGCTTTGCAAATGAAGATTTGGGAAGGGCACTACCCACATTTGTTGCAAGCGTGTTGGTGGCTAAAAAGGCCAATACGAGATAGGCACTTCTGGTAGCAAAAGGCACAGCAGAAAGACTCCTTAGGTGGTATATTCTGCAGGGCACGATTCTTTCTGCGTTGTCTTTTCTCCTCAAGAGTGATCCTGTGTGTGTTCTCAAAGGAAGCAGCAGCGTTATAGATGGTTTGTCTCCAGACCTCCCGATTGGAGGCCAGAGTAGACCAGTTATGTTGATCAATGTGGCCAAGGCTGAGATGTTGTTTCAGGGAGTCCTTGTATCTTCTCTTTGGGGTTCCTCTCTCGCAGCAGCCGGTGGCAAGTTCACCATAAAGCAAGATCTTAGGGAGGCGGTGGTCCTTCATCCTGGAGACGTGCCCTGCCCAGCACAGCTGTGTTCTCAGCAACATGGCCTCAATACTTGTGACTGCTGCTTGTTCTAGAACAGATGTATTGGTCACATAATCTGACCAGTGGATGTTTAGGATTGTGTGGAGACAGCATTGATGGAAGCGTTCTAGCAGACACAGGTGGTGGCAGCAGATGACCCATGATTCAGATCCGTATAAAAGGGTAGACAGCACAATGGCTCTGTAAACACTGATCTTTGTACTTTTCTTCAAGTGTTTATTTTGCCATACTCTTTAATAAATAGAGATATATATTTCTCTACATTAGCTACTGATGCAGCATTTGTCCTTTCTAGATGAACTTTAGGTAACCTTAATTACAGAAAGCTTCTTTAGCCTAGGATTTACAATTATTTCTTTCTGAGAAACAAAATTCAAAAACTAAAGCTTGTCGGGTAGGAGATGTTGGATATATTCCTCAGTGAATTTAGCTCATTTGCACATACCCATATGTCTGTCTGGCAGTTAACTTGTCATAGAATCCAAGAAGAAACTGAGGTACAGTGAGTCCAAGAGATCTCGGGAGGGAGACACTATGTATTTTCTCTTGAGCAGCACAGAAACTATTTGATCTGTTTCTGCTGACTACCACACAGAGTCTATTGTCACACATTTTGTTTTTTTCAAGCATGAAATAACACACAGGTATTCATGTTACTAGTCCCACTGCTTCTTTTCTCTTGGGATGTTTTGTTCTATCACTGTATTTAAAAAACAAAGTCTTGAAGAAATGTACTTTTAGGATGAAATGCCTGTACTTCTACTGTGCTACCACATTTTGTTTTTCTTTAAGTTTTAACTTTATTTTAACCTTTAAGCCTTAATAGTTCTTAAGATTTCTTTAAGCAGCATCTCAATTCTGGAAAGAGAAACTTAGTTCTTAGCATTTACTAACAACCTTCTTTTTGGAGTAGCACAGTCAATAAATACTGGAAAATGCTAGTTACAGTGTGTACTTGCTGTGGGACTCTGTTTAAGAAACTGTCTTAAATTACAGGAATAATTGATCACCTTGGAAAACTTAATAATATAATGAAAATGAAGGAGGAGAACCTTAAAGGGAGATTCCTGGACACATACTCTGCTCTTACGTGGCTAAGAAAGAACAAAGACAAGTTTAAAAAAAAAGTTTATGAACCCATGATGCTTGAAGTAAGAAAATTTACTTGTGTATCACTGACTAGTTAATGATTAGATTATTTATGTGTTGCAAGACTTGGAGAACGACTTTAAAAACTTTTAAGACACCTTGGAATGGTCTGCCAAGTACATGCAGGATACATTAGCATGATGAAATATTTGTAATTATAATTCATAGGCAATACTGTGGTTCTCAACATTGATTAAGATGGGATGGTTCCTTCCCTCCTCAAGAAAGTGTCTATTGCAGATTTCCTCTAAGGTGCATCCAGTTATTTAGACTTCAGTAGTTCTTACTTGATGCTTAGAAAAGCAGTGGTATTGGAATTGAATATCTCCACTTATAGCACAACCTGCTCAGCTGTGGTTACATGTCTGTGATCCCCAGGTATCTTTTTGGTTTGCTTTGCACAGCCAGCTACAGACAGAAACATGTGATCCATCCCTCGTTTTGGTTTGGTTTGACAGATGCTGTACAAGCTAGGAATAGCAGGAATAAATTTTCAAAGAGCATATAGATTTATTCATTTTTTTAGTGTATTACTTGATCACTATCCCAGCGTCTTGCTATATATGCCCCATGTAATGTGAAGAGGATGAAGATCTCCAAGTGCACTTCTCATCAGAATTGCAAGCTTATTTAATAGTGTATTGCTGCAATTTAAATAAGTATATTAGAATATTTGTATATCAATTCTTACATTTTCTACATGCACTAGGACTATTCAATGTTACTTTTTTTTTAGTATAGAATCCCAAGTATTTCCTGTTATTACCAGAATTTCAATTCTTCCTGGAAGACCACATCAAGTTCGTTTTACAGATGCTTTGATAGGATGCCTTTGCTTTAAGGTCACATTACATACTGTAACATCCATTGATGTCTAAATTTTTCTTCGTATTGTGGCTCAACCCCAGACAACACCAAGCCCCATGCAGCAGCTGCTTGCTCACTCTCCCCCCGCAGCAGGATCAGGGAAGGAATGAGAAGGGTAAAAGTCTAAAGACTCGTGGGTTGAGATGAAGATAGTTTAATAGGGAAACAAAAAGCTGCGCACACAGGCAAGGCAAAATCAGGAATTAATTCACTGCCTCCTGTGGGCAGGCAGGTGTTCAGCCTTCAGGAGAGCATGGCCCCATCATGTCTAATGGTGACTTGGTGTCCTGGTTTCAGCCAAGGACAGGGTTAATTTTTTGCAATAGCTGACAGAAGGTGTGGCTGAGGGGCCACACCCTAATGTTGTTGATCCTACCTCATGTCACTGCCAGGGGTGGGGAAAAAGGGACTTTCTCTGCTTCTGAGAGGAAGAGTATCCCTTTCCAGTCAGGAGGAAGAGTGGTGGGGAAAAACCAGTCAGTATTTGTTGCAGGCTTTTGGTGTAAATGGTCCCTTACACCTTCTGTAATTAATACTGAGGGTGTTACTGTTCATTTTCTTATCTTATTGCTGTTCACATAAATTGTTCGTTTTTTAACCTCTGATTTCAAATTTTGTACCTCCAGTTCTCAATTCCATCCTGTGGGAGCTGAAAAGGGAAGGGAAAGTGAGGAGTAAGTGGCAGCATGGTTTTAGTGAGACTACTAAATTGGAGAATACTGTTCCTAAACCACAACACTTGGGAAGACAAAACACCATTTATCCAAATGTCCCCCTTTCCTCCTTTTTCCCCCTACTTTTTATACTTTGTGTGCTTTCATATGGTATGGAGCATCCCTTTGGTCAGTCAGGGTCAGCTGTCCTAGCCATGTCTCCTACCAGTCTCCCACTTTCCTCACCAGTGTGGCAGTACGAAGTGCAGAAAAGGTCTTTGCTCTGTGTAAGCCCTGCTCAGCAATAACAAAAACATCTCAGTATTATGAACCCTGTGTTCAGCATAAATCCAAAACAGCACCCCTTACTAGCCACTGTGAAGTAAATTAACTCTACCCCACCAAAACCAGCATACTTGGTATATAAGTTAGTCTCATGTATTTAAAAATTTTAGCTTTCAAATTGCTTTTAACTCTACCCAGCCTTTATCTGACTTGAGGTTATTAAATTGTGTAGGTCTGTCTAATTTTGCCTTTGTGTGTTACGTAAAGTGACATAATGTCTAATTACTAGTGAGAGTTAACTGAAAAATACTTTAACATTTCAGATATGACAAACTTCATCTGTTGAACATGGGTTTTTTGTTGTTTGTTTGTTTGTTTGTTTTTTTTAAAGAATTCAAAGACAATTCAGCCAGTCTCAAAATCTGTCTAGCTAGTGGTCCACTCTTCTTTACTTGTAGTTGATCTTCATGCTATCCAATTAAGGGGAACTCCGTATGAATAATTTGTGGAGTGTGGTGTTTTCTGCTTGTTAATTCCTCAGCTTGATTGTTTCTGAACCTTGAGAAAGCTTTAGTAGTACTGGAGCAAGGCCATTAGACATCAGGTGGGGGTGGTTGCAATTGTAAGGTTAGGGTGGAGCAGAAGAGGGAGTGGTGGTATGGAGAGAGGTGGTGGCTTTGGGTGTGCTGAAGGATATGGATGGCTAAAAACTAAGCACAATGAGCTATGACTCACAGTAGATTTCTTCCTAAGAGAATTGGTTGCAAAAAAGGCAGGGAATATGTTTTTAAAGACATTTTCTTTGTTTTCATTAAATGTAGGCATGCATATAATCTTGATTATTTAAAATGTTTCTTGGGGTGATAATTGCAATTGTATTAAATCACTTTCTCATTATCTTTTTTTATTAGATCAATCCAAGAGACAGTAGACATGCTAAATATATTGAAAACCACATTTCAAGCGATGACATGAGGGCTTTTGTTTTTGAGAGTCAAGAAGATATGGAAGTGTTTCTTGTAGAGGCAAGTTGGCACCCATTTTAAAATTCGATTAAATAGTGATGTAGGAGCCTTAAACTTTGGAGTTTACCAAGTAAATATTAAGTTTTGATTGGACCAATAGCTAATACAAAGTGTTTAAAGGTTTTCTTCTGGATTAAGGTTTTCTTAATCAGTAAGATTTTTTTTAAATCTTAGAGTAACATTCTGTAGAGGAATGCAGAAATATTAAGAATGTCTTTTTAGAAATACCTTCTTGTCTTTTTTGACTAGGTGGTAATTGCTAAATATAAAATACTGTGTACAAGAAAATGGGCCAGAGTGGGGATCTACAAATTGAGTACCAAGATTTTGCAGTGCCTTCTCACGAAAGAGACAAGAGAGCATCTTCTGTGAGATGCAATGGTCCAAGTAGCAAATCAGGCTTGTATTTTCTTAGTACTGCTCCTTTCTGAATCATAGAGGAGATTGTTCCCGGGTAGATGATGCAGGAGGAAAAAGCCATAAGATATGGTGTTAAACTGTCATAATGCTTCCTATCTACTGTCCACAGAATAGTGTACTCAATGACAAACTGTCCTGCAATTTTTGAAGACCTTCACAGGTCTGCCCTTCACAGAAGCTAGTGATTTTTATATACATGAACAATAATGGTGATATCTGAGATTCTGAGGGCTTGTCTTGCCTGCAGGTTGTGGAACCCGGTGCAAGGCTGCTTTAACTAGCTAAACTGATGTTTCATTTATATCCCCAGTCTTTTCTGCGCTGTTAGGGTTAGGTTTTTCAGCATGTTTGCAGTCAGTGGTCTACCATTCTCTGTGCAAAATGGCTATACAACTTGAGACCATGGGCTTCCTTATTACATCCAGATTAACTGTTCAGGCTGAACATCTGGCTCTGGATTTGATTGCTTTTGTTTTCCTGTAGTGCATAATACTTAGAGACATTAACAGAGTTTGTTTTTAGAGAACTTGGTTATACCTGAACCAGAGTGTATTTATGTGGGTTCTTCCGGAGGTCATCAGTTTAAAAGAATTCTGATGCTGTAAATTGATAATAAATACTTTATTTTTGTGTGGTGAATTTTTCTGGTCTTCTTTACCAAATCTAATATAGATACGTGATCATCAGAAACTAAGAGTGAATGCTGTATGCGCACCTGCTGCATCATGTGCTGAAAGCCTCCCTTCAAGACCTATTGAGGAATTACAGTATGTACCAGATTGTATTGGGGGGGATGGTTTTAAATGCAGTTGTTTTTTGCTGTTGCTATATATTAGAATTTTCTATGCAAATCAGATTTTTGAACCAGTTCAGTTCTGGGTTAGTGGGACTTCTTTCTGACTTAGTAACTTCAGCTTGCTTACCTGCTAAATTTGATTTCTGATGGGTGCTTTTTTTTTTCCTTCAGCCAGTATGGATTTTTCTCATATTTACGAGAGTTATTTGATGCTCCTCGTCCTGTGATGAGTTATCTATGTTACCAGTATCATGTTCATGAGGTTCCTGTGGGAACAGAGAAGACCAGAGACATGATTGAAAGGGTAAAGTATCTGAAGTAGCACAAACACCTATGGTCTAGAGTTTTATTGTGGGAATTTTTTGGCAAGTTAATCTGGAGAAAACAAAAAAATTGCTTTAGTGGTTTTGTTTCGCCTTTTATTTGTCCTTTAGAAGTGGGAACAGTTCATTATAGACTAATATACTGCAAGACATTTTAACAAATTCAATTGTCTTAATACAGTACTTCACAGGAAGTTAAATCTGTCTTTCACCTGTATGCTGTTCCAAGTCAGTGTCCTGGTTTGGGCCAAAGACAGTTAATTTTTTGCAGTAGACAAGAGGGGGATGCAGGTCAGTAATCAGTCTACCAGGCCCCTTGTATTTATATTTCGACTGTCGCCCTCCCCTTACCACAGAGGCTTCACTCATTTGGCTGCTTCATTGCAGTGTTTCATGGTTGTGGATAACCTGGAGACTGTCCATGGTTCAGTTCACCCCTCCATCACGAGTTCACCTGTATGTTGTATCTCTTCCCTGATGACCTAAGAGGTCATGGACCATGCCCCCTCAGCTGTGCCCTTTCTTGGCTATGGCAGAAAATTAACTCTTTATTGGCTGAAACAAGGACAGTTGTCAACCAGAGTCTGAGTGGTAAATCAAAGTAAACACTCTTTACTGAACCAAATCAAGAGAATACAGCTGGTGCTGTGTATATAAACTGAACAAAATTTTTGGTCAGATTTATCTTATCCTGTGGAGGCTTTTTGCTGTTTTCTGGTTTACTGGACATTTTATGTCTTTATATCTTTTTGAAGTACTGTGTTACCTTGCATTATTAGAAATAACCGAAGATTTACCATATCCTTTTTGATATGAGTAATTTAAAAGTAGCAACTAGTATTTTTATACCTCCTTATTTCTCCAGAAGCATTTACTTGACTGAAGATAATGCATTACAACTCACTTTATGACTTCATCTTTTAGTTTCTTGAGTACTTTATTTCTGTGTTACGCAGGCTACACCTATAACATGTCATACATCTGCAGCCAGTACAATCCTTGTTCATGATACAATACAAATATTAACAGTTGCTTCTGGTATCTGTAATATAGTAATAGTCATAACCTGTTTAACTGCTTATGACAGAGTAACAGTTAACAGTTCTTTGCTCACCAGTCTGAATTACAAATATAATGATGCATTAAACATAGCATCATCTTTTTGCAAAGCTTGTTAGCAAGTCAGAGTCTTGCATAAGCTGAATTTTTTTGCTGTGGATTTTAGTTTATTCGTTGTTCCGAAAAGCATTACCTTAAGCAATGCTTTTGTCAGATTAATATTTTTGTGTGTTTTTTAGGTCATACGAGAAACCAAATTTAGGCAAATATACACAGCAGAAGAAAGATATATTATTAAAGTATCTTCTTATACAAATCGAACCCTCTCTACTAACACATTCCTGAGGGCAGCACAGTTTCTCAGTGGTTCTGTGGATACAGATGAAAGAAGGCAGTTGGAAAACCAACAACAGGTAGGAATTTATTTCTGTACTGTATATGTTGTGAACTACTACCCATTTTACTATACAAAAAGAAGAACATACTTGCATGTTGTTAGTATGGTGTATTTGTAGTAAGAATGCTAGTGGTGTGTGTTCATTTCAGGACATCAATAACATGTCGAAGTCATTGGATATGCGTTTGACTGCGTTGTTTGAGAGACAGAAACATCTGGAACACAGAGACAATGAGCTCAGGCAACAGAAGAAGGACCTTTTAGAGAGAGGAAACAGAAGGAGACAATTGGAATCAAAAATTGCTTTGAAGTATGATAGGTAGGAAACAAGCCATATTATCTTATGCAAAATGAACATTTTAATAACAAAGTTGTTTTTGCCACCTTCTTACTACAGTGTGCTTTTACAAAGTAACCAGTGGCTTAGCATCAGATAATCAAGACAAGTGAGGTGTTTAGAAGTTAAGATTTAAGACAGTATCTAAGGCACCAGGTAGCAGTATTCCAGATGGTTTCCTGTAATAAAATCGTAGGATTCCAGTTTGAATAATTCCATGCAGTGACCCCTAATATTACCATATTCATCTGTTTTAGCAGCACATGTCTAGATAATACCATAATGTACATAAATGGTACTAAGTAAGTGTGTCAGGGTTTGAGTTGGACCTAATTGTCCATAGCATTTTTCATAACATTCTTTTGTTTTGTGGGCCTCTGCAGTTAGTTCTTCCGTTATGCTTTGTCTTAAGGCAGAATCTGGGCATGGCTGAAGAGGTATTTCATTTAAACTCACACTCCCAGAAGGCAGTAGACAGCACTGACATCCACTCTCAGTCTTTTTTGTTTCAGCTTTGGACCACTGTCATTCCTTGACCATGTGCAGTACTGAACAGAGAAAAAAATCACTCTCATCCTGCCTGTGCTTCCACTCATACAGCCAAGGACTGTGTTTGCTGCCCAGGCACACTGCCCGCTCGTGCACAGCTCATGTTCCACCAATACCCCAAGTCCTTCACTGTGAACTTTGCTGCAGTCAGTCTGTCCTGAGCCTGTATCACTGCCAGACCAACCTGCTTCTCAGTACAAGACTCTGCATTTGTCCTTGCTGAATCTCATGAGCATTCTGTTGATCCCTCCAAAGAGCAGGCCTGTTCCTCCCCCCAGTTTAGTGTAATCAGAAAACATGATGACAGGGGCCCTCTGTCTGCTTGTTGTGTCACTGGCAGGAGTGTTAAACAGGACAGGTCGTAGAACATAGTCCTATGGTACCCCACTTGATACTGACCTCCAGGCAGGATACAACAAACTCAAGAGTGGCTATCTTTTTTTACTAATCTAGTCTTTCATTAATTCAGACTTGTGGTCTTCAAAATTCAGTACATCTGTAGTGTGAGAGACAGCGTTGAAAAAGTTACAGAAATGAGTCTGGTTCAAGCAGACTGAGGGGAAGGTGGAGCTGATGCAGCTTAGTCCTCCCACTTGCATCCAATAGTGAGGCTAATCCTGACTTCCCACCAGATACACAGAACACATCTGAACAGCATCTAAGTATTTACACATGACCATACAGCACAGATAGACGCACAAAGCAATGGCGCAAATGCAGCACCAGTGGCTGCCTCATGTTTCTACTCCCTCTGAGCAGCGTGGGGCTCCCCTAGAAAGGCTTTTATGCATACCTGTGAGCAACGTGGATCCCATGAGTAGCTGGGTCTAGACACTGAATCTGCACAGTAACTGCCTCTGGACCTCAGTCTCTTCACTGTCTGGTACCTGGGAATGCAAGTCCCTGAGGCTGTAGCCCTGCTCCTGTTACTTGGACAGATTGTCTCACCCATGTGTACATGCACACTGAACTGGCTGTGACTCTGTAGTTTCCCAGTAGCCCTTTCTATGGTCCTTCCCTCAGAGACACCGAGGCTATATAAATGTATAGAGGTAGCTAAGACTCGCCCAATCCCTGCCTCATAGCCATTACCCCTGCCATCTTACCCCTAAAATACATACACATCTCACCAGTAGAAGCAGCAGCCATACAGGTCTCGCCAGTAGAAGCAGCAGCCCGGCTGGACTCTCCTGGTCTCTCCAGTAGCCATTTCTTCCTGTGGTCTCACTCTTAGTGACACACATACCCACTCCCTTGGCTCCCAGGCCACTTCCCATCTAGTATGGCTTGATCTTTGTTAGGGATCAAACACTCTTGCACACTTCCACTTGTACCAGGTGCTGGCTCCATGTCCACCTCTGACCTGTGGTGCCACTCTGGTGGCTGTCATTTAAGTCCTACTCACTCTTCTCCAGCCAGATGCAGCCATCACAGACAAGCAGATCTCTTCCTGTGACATGTGATTTCATGATAATTGGGTGGGGAAGGAGGTGTGACTCTTCCTTTGCCAGGAGAACTGTCACCAAAGGTGGTGCCAGCAGTTGAATTAGGGTTGCGGACTGCTGTTTAATCTTGCAGAGGGAGGCACAGAGAGGCATGTTCTCATTCATCCTTGGAGCCCCATGTGGTACCCCTGCAACCTTAAATGACAATAGCTTTTTCAAATATATTTTTGCATTTCAGAGCCTGAAATTAAATGAGGGCTGTATTTTACTACCTTATCAGAGTGGCTTTTTGTTTTATTTTGGTTGTTTTTTCGGTTTTGTAACGTGACATGCAAAGGTGACTCTTAGAAACACGGTGTTGTTGAGGACCTGGCAGTGTTAGGGTAACGATTGAACTCAATGATCTTAAAGGTCTTTTCCAACCTAAACTGTTCTATGATTCAGTTCCACCTCAAGGAAGCAACACTCCCTTAATCCAGAGGGTGCTGTGGTATTGATTTATCTTGTTGGGTTTCACACCTGGACACTGGTGCTGAGGCTGTCCGGGGTTACAGGGTGTCCCTTCCTCTGAGTTCTGAATTTGGGTTCCTGTCTGCCAGGGTGCCCCTATGCTCCTCTGGGCTTGGGGACATGGGAATTTCATGAGCTGTTGACTACTGTCACAGGCCTGTGAGTAGCTAAGGTGTAGGGTGTTACTTGGGCTTCCCTCACCTGCTGTTGTCTCTCCTTTATATGTGTGCAGGTGAGCTTTTATCAGCTTTTAACAGAAAGCCTTGCTAAAATTGAGGTAAATGACAACCATTTGGTCTCCTGTCACCTTGTTCTTTTACAGTTGGATTCATCAGGTATGATGTACCCCTCATAAATGCTTTCTGAGTGTTCCTGATCACCATCTCTCTTATGTCTCTAGAATTATTTTCCAAGGGGCCTTGCTCTGGAGTTTTCTAGGGATCAAAGTCAGAACAATTAGTTTGTAATTTCCTGGATCGTCCTCTTGACCTGTTTGGCAATTCTAAATGCTTTGCAACTCACTAAGATGTCACGATTATTTCATATGAACTTCTTGCGTGTTTTGGAAGTTTAGGACAAGTGAAAATTCTGGTTTTTGTGCTAAGATGAGGACGCAGAGGTTTTATTTTGGTAGTAAATGTAACAAGAAATAAGCAAACTTCCTGAATTCTCCTATGTTGTATGGTTGTAAAGACATAGGAGCAGAAGAAAAATGTCATTCCTTATACTGATTTTTTTCTAATTTGAAATTTACAGAAGTAAAGGACTCTGCTTGTGGAGGGATGCTGATGCTGTTAGTAGCCAAAATTGGATTAATTTTTTTGTCTTTTTTATGTCTTCAGTTTAAAAACAGCAGATTGGGAATGCTTCTAATGTATTTGGAATGTTTAGATTTACAAATTCATATCCTTGCTAACTATTGGTTTATCATCAAATTAGAGAACTTTTTTATTTTTATTACAACTTATTTTTAATAATGATTAATCAAATATTGATTCCTCCTGTAGTTTAAGACAGCTGGAACAAGATGCTATTGATATAGAGAAGGAATCTCAACTGGCAAATCTAAAGATCAAAGAAATAAATAAGCAGAAAGCAGAACTTGTTACTGAGTTTATGCATCTCACAAAGGTATGTGTTTGTATCTTGGTATGTGTTCCACTTTTATTCACAGAGTTCACAGAATATTCTGAGTTGGAAGGGACCCACAAGGATCACTAAGTCCAACTCTTAGGTGAATGGTCCATCCAGGGATTGAAACCACAACCTTGCTTTATTAGCACCATGCTTTAATCAGCTGAGCTAATCTCACAATAATAGGAAAAGTCCAATTCTTTTAGTTTAAGTAGGAAACATGCAGCATTTGTATGCATTCCTGTAAATGTTTGAGCTAGTTTTCTTCAAGAGAAAGTTCTTTTGAAGGTTTTATGAACTTGAACTTGTTCATCTGTCATTGATCTATAGATCATTTGCTTGTGTTGAGAGTCTGTGACTGAAATTTTAACAATCCGTGGTTTGATTCAGTAAATACAGGAATGAACTCTGTAACTATTTCATCCAGTATGTTTTCTGAATACATCCTAACTCTAAACTTTTTCTTCCACCCTGGTTCATCATCTCCTTTTTTTCTTTCTGTTCTTGTTTTTACTGAGAAAAGACTAGTCATTACTTATGTGAAAAAGTGACCTGAGTGTCTGTGACTGTGGAAAATGTCAAGGATGGGAAAGATACTCAGGTCTCAGGCTCCAATGTCATAAGGCTTTTCTTTAACTCAGAAAACAGTCTGGACTTAATTGTTGCATTAACTTAAGCCTGCAAGTCCTAGTGATGGAAGACGCTATAAGGTGAATTTTCTTAGGTGTTTTCTTTGGGGGGGTGGGGGTGGGGGGGAGGATTGATGGGGTTTGGTTGGTTTGTTTTAGTAACTAGAAGACATTTATTTCCAAGGGAATCTACTTGTGCACTCAGCAAGAAATGATCCTGTTCTTGCAACTGCTTTGAGCATGTGTGTTTTCCCTTTGCCGTCACTTGCTAACATCAAAACATATTCTTGCTTACCCCTGAAAAGAGCTGAGTGTTACCTTTGAAGTGAGGATGATTTCTAAATACTTCAATTGCTGATATTTATATAATACAGAAAAAAATACTCCAAATGGATGGGTTGTTTCTTTTTGTTGATAGGTGTGGACTTGGCAGCAATGGCATTGTTTCAGAGATCACCTTTGGGTCAGCCAGCCACAGTAGTTTGAAAATGCCAAAGAATGGCAGAAGACACCTGCCATGTTAAAAGTATTACTTAAACTGTAGATTACTTCACAGAAATTACAGAACTTGTGAAGCTAGTAACAGTGCTGAAAAGTAACTTCTCAAAACTTGTGCAAAGTGCTGCTGTTGTAAAGTGCAGCTGAAGTTGTTTACTGAGTACTGTATGACCTGCCTGAAGAATGTCTCTTAAATTCTTTTTCACCCAGTACAGGAAAACAGATCTGACACATACTGTGTATTTCTCAGAATACCAGGAGTGTAGGGGAGGATGGATGGTATTTGCCTGAAATAGTTATTGATTGCAGAAAGGATTTATTTCAGCTGTGTGTTAACTCAATTTTCACACTTGATGTGCTGTAGCAAATACATGCTAGTACATACTGAAAAGAAGAAAATGGTCTGGTACAAGGAAGATATTTCATTATATGTTTCATCACAATAGTTGAAATCCATACATATCTAGTTGTTCCCAAACCAAACTTCATGAATGCTTCCAAAGTTGAGTCTTTGTATTTTCTTTATTAGGTTCTGTAGTTATACTAGCTGTAGGTTATTAAAGTGAGAAAAACTTCAGTTGTATGTTTCAGACATACTCATTTCTGCCACAGAGGGAAATTTAAAATAGACAGGATTTGTGTGTGTATGTGAATGGTAATATAATCTCTTTTTTTAAAAGAGTTCATGAGTCAACTAGAGAGACAGGCTGCATGTGTACTTACACAAACACACACGGCAGAGTGTACCTGGCACGTACCTAATACATGTCAATACTTTACAACCAGTTGACAGAAACAGCCACGTTCCATAGTTACAGATTCTGGCACTGCTTTTAGATGTAGCTCTGTTTGTGTTGTTGTTACTGAATAATCTTAAGGTTTTCCATTTTTTTTATCTCCCTTTTTATTTTTTTTTTCAGTTTGCATTTCTGATAGTTTAAGCTATCAGTTTAAGTTCTGATAGTTTTAAGCTGTTTAAGAGAATTGGAAATAGACATTTTCCTATGTCCAAGTTCACACTACAGAAATTCAATATCAAATCTTTTCAGATCATAGCTCACCATTGTGGTCAGAAGCTAACACACTCAAATCTTCATCTTGTAGGTTGTCTATGTTGACAGCTGAAACCTTGTCCTCCCTTTCATTAAGGGGGAGGGTTCTTTCATATTTGTAAGCCAATCATTAAAAAGAAAAAAAAAAAGAGGTAAACTGGTGTTCTCAATGCCCCATAATTTAAAGTCTGAAGATACCCTTCAAGCAGTCAAGAATCTGTTGCTGATTTTGAAGCCTCTGGATCATTCCTGAGGCCGACTTGTTTAAAAAAACAAGCATTTTAATGTCGACACTGTCAAATCAGGTTCTGGGAATCACTAAAGCCTGTTAAGAAGCTTCCCAAATAGAACCTCCTTCTGTTGTCAGACACTTTTCCAGTTAAGAAACAAGGCACTGGAGTCACTGTGCATCTGTCAATCAACTTGTATTGTCATTAAGAGATGTATATATCTTTCATGTTTATTTTTTGACCTCTTGTCATCTCTGTGTGACATATGGCGTCCACCAAAATCCACCATGACGTCCACCGAATTCTGTCTCTGAGAAACAATTGAGACTGCCTTGGCTTTTCTTACATTTCACATATGGTTAAGGGAAAGAGAATGTGGGGTTTTTTTGATGTAAAATTGTTTAGTTGAAAGTGATGTGTGTGTGTGTGTGTATACACATTTAGAGATAAAAGTACTTGGCGAGTGTACATCTTGAAGAACTTGGGTCACCAATAAGTCACCTTTTTCATTGAATTTGACAGCAGTGTTGATGAGCTGAACACAGTGTGAGATTGTGTGTTATGACTAAAAAAAACTGGATAATTTCTGAACCCTGATAGTGATTATATTGGTTTTGAGTCTCTGGTGGAAAAAAAATTATCTGTTCTGTTTTCTTTGTAGGATATCATTCCACTGAGCATCCTCAAGGGGATTTTGACTCTTCGAAGGAGTAAGGTGATTGCTGAGAAGGCCAAACTAGAATCAGAGTATAAACCAGGAACTGTACAGCTAAAAGCTGCAGAGGTAAAAACTTCTATGAAAACTGAGATATCTACTATGACATCATCTTATGTGGAAGTCTTTATGGTGTTCAAAAGGATACTTTTCTGTCTTTGCTTAGGAGTGGGTATTAGTACTGCTAAATATTTAGCCTTGATTTCTGTAGTTTGACTTCAAGACAGATAAGCTTCTATGAAAATGTGCCCAAACAGTCATACCCTGGATCTTTTTTGCTGAAATGCATAGTGTGTGTAAAAACGCTAGCTGTCACTTGGAAGTATTATTTTTCTTCTGAGTCTGTCCATGGACAGGTAGCTCTGACCCACGTGGGAAATACCAACTCAAGATGAACCAGAAAGTGCAGCAGCAGAACAGAACTATTTTACCTTTCTTTTATAACTCATTGCCTCGTGCTGTAATTAAATGCCTTTTTTTGCGGACAGAAAGGAGGAGGTATGGCCCTTGTATTGATCACATTAGGAAGCTATGCTGTGTTCAGGTAAAAAGACAGTCTCTGAGGAATTAGTTTTAGAGGCAGATATTCTTTTCGAAGAGTAGAGAGGATGCTGTGATGCTCATGGATTGCTGCATAGAGGTCAATTTTTGTATTTGTGTGGTGGTACAAGCTTTAAATGCTCTGGGGAGTAAACTATGAAAGCAAAGAGGGGTAAGTTTTCTGTTTGGGTTTTTTTTTTTTTTACCTATAACCTACTGCTAGTTCAGTTGGATTCATAAAAATAAGAACTGGAAAGCAGTTCAAAAGGTAAGTGATAGTTATTTTGCATGGATATGGATACATATTTCCAAAAAGAATGACCTTGGCATGTCTTTAGAAAACCACTTGAGGTTATGGTTTCCATCACTTGCAGGAAAACTGGGCAGAGGAGAACTTCCTAAGAGGAGCAAAAAGTGACTTGAAGACAGAGACAAGTCCAGCACGTTATTTGGAAAACGGTGTTGCATCAGTTGTCACACGATGCACCTTTTATTCAGAGTTTATCAAAATCCAATGCAAATGACTGTTGCTAGAGCTCAATAAGGAGTAAGAATGTATTACAAAGCCATGGGAGCAGTGTGTATTTTCACTGGGAAATTTATTTAATGTTTTTAGTTGTCTCTACCCACATCTTCAACATTTTAGAGAGAAGCTTGGGCTGGTGCATAGTTAGATGTCTGGTCAGCTTAGTAGACAGTACTTGTGAGGTAAATGTTCTGATAGTTTTTAAACAAAAATTGCCTCCTTCGCTAGTGAAGAGATGTTTGAGTCATGTGGGATCCCATTACTTGTCATTACTGGGTTACATTCAACCCCATCACTAGAAGAAATCATATCAGTGCTTTATTTTTGATGGTTGACTCAATGAACATTAAAACAAATAAAACCCTAAAATTAGTAATCACAGTGATTATAATTTCTAAAAGTGCACCTGCTCTGGAGGAAAACTCCTCTGAGTGTTCAAGTGCATTTTAATTTTCAATGTACATGGAAATCCAAAGCTATACTTCCCTGTATGCTGTGTAAGTGTAGAAGACCCTTCTAGATTTTACTATGAGGAGATTAGGGGTTTTTTGCTTAAGAAAGCTTTCCTCTAGTGGCTTGAGGTTTTATAGTACCTGAGTAAATATCTGATAGAGATTTGAACCAAACAGAAACCCCACTTTGGACATCTAAGTGGAAACCTTTTTTGAGGTCTCCGCAGTAGGACAATGTGGAGAGATAGGTTGTTTGTTGCTTCATTTTTTTTAACAATTTAAGTGGAAAGGCTCAAAAAGGACATGTTTTTGAACAAGTCCAGTTAGCAACAACAGATTTCAGGGGTTTTTATCACATCACTATGGTTCAAGTGGGCACTATAGTGATATCTTACCTTTGTATTTAATTTATTTAATGAGCCTGGGAAGTAAAACCCGTGTTTGTGACCCATACTGAACATTAAGGAGGATTGTTAGCCCCATTTGCTCATTAGGTAATTGCCACAGTTGCCTGCATGTTTGTTTATGATGGTTGTTTGAAAGTCTTGGTAATTGACTTGCTTTGTTCATTTACAGGCATGGGTTCAAACAAATTCATGAGGAGTGGTTCACTACTGCAAGTTCTATTTTCTTTAACCAGCTTCTTATTTTGCATAAAACCAATTGCAGTACTGATGAGTGCAACAGAGTAGAGTTACTTGTGCATACAGAATAGAATTGATTTCTGCTCTTTGGTAGAATCCTTTATGGAAGCTGTAATTGGAGCTCTGTACTAGTGCAGAACTTTCCTGAAGTACGTGGATACAGCTATTTACAGACTGTTGGCTAAAACAAATTTAAGGTTTTCTCTAGACTTACCATTTTTATGGTAGTATCTCTGTTCAAAATGGCAATTCTTAGACCTACTGTTTTTACCTACGATTGTTCTATTGAAGCACCTTCAGGAAATCAACAGGAACCTTACCCTTTTATTTAGCATGTGGCCAAGACAGTAAACTGGCAAAGCTGAATGAAAATTGAAACTTAACCTGTTGTTGGATTGTCAGTGCATTTATTCTGGTACACACTTCATAATCACATCCAATGTCTATTTCTTTCCAGTCTTTCTGTTGAATACTGAAGTTTCCACTGCCAAACATGTATTTTCCTCTTCCCTGAAGAATTTTATTTGGCTTGGATCAGGCATATTCCATGTTGAATCTACTTGGCATTTGCAGTGCCTAGAGATCACCTTGAACTCTTATTCCATGCAGCTCTGCAGGGCTTCAAGTGGAAGCTTTAGGTACAATTGAGAGTTGAGATTACCCACTTCAAATGATTCAGAATTGACTTGAGCTCTGGAAATGGTCAAACACATAAGTATTAAATCAATGCTCCTTATATAAAAAAGTATGGGTACTGCTGACTGTATCCTTTGCCTTCATGATCATGAAGTCAAACACATTTCAGATTAAGCCTTTAAGGCTTTGAATTTCTGGGTCCCATTTTAATTTAGAACTTTCTAAAACATTCCTAAAATTTTTTTATTTAAAGTATTATGTGACATATGCAGATATCCAATGGAACGTAAGTGTTGTGCTGTACAGGTTTGTTTATGCCAATTCAGTGTACTATAAGATCTTGGCTGTAAACAGAAAAAGCGACATCTTCCCTTTACTGTTTTATCTGTATGGCTCTAACGCCAGTCCTTCTTGCCACCCCTGTGACATTTCCTTCCTTCTCTGCAGTAGACTTCATGAAGTCTTCAGAAAAGACCTTAAAAAGGTCTTTTTTGTTTTCCTCAACCTTTCTGAAAAACAGTGTAGAAAAATACAGTGTGTTTATGGAGACTGTAATTTCTTATCTCTAAAGCAAAATATAGTGCTTGGTGTGGAGAGAGGGGAAGAACAGGATTGTTGATTTGATACATGTTGAGAAGAGCAGCCCTAATTCTTGAGTTGAGTGTGAGAACTCTGTGGTTGATTACTCACAGTCACATCTATTACTACTACTTCTGTTGTATTTAATGAATAAGGATTGATTAAATTGCCAGAAAGTAATGAGAGTTGCTATCAATGTCTGCATCCTGTATTTCAAAATAAGTGTTTCTCTAATTGCATAATCTCCAAAGGAAAGCTTTGAAATTATTTCACCACTGGAGGGCTCCCATATTTAACTGAGGTACACAACAACAATAATTGGAAAGATAAAGCTCTCATAGTATAAGAATATAACTAAACTTTCCAAACTGCCAGAAGAAAGCGCTGAAGGAAAATACTGTGCATATGAATTTTTGAACTAGAATTTTGTGCCTCTGAAAAAAGGTGGAAATAATGTATTCCTGCAGTGTACTGGTCAATTGAAAAGATGGAATGTATGTGTAATCACTGAGCAAATGTATAGTAAATTAACCCTGGTTAAAATCTACCAGTATGTTTGTATGTAGTCCTTTTCCCTTCTGAGTGGCATCTCCCAGCTGTCTTGCAGTGGTGCTCACCTGAGCTGGTAGGCTGTAGTGAGCAATCACTCCCAAACACTGCAGGCTCAGCAGTTGGAAGCAGAAAGCATTCCACATACAGAGAGATGAGTGAGTGCGATTGCTGGGGTCAGGTGGAGAGAGAGACTGCAGACTTTCCAAATTCTTTTGCCTGAATACTGCTTATTTGACATAATCTTTAGCTTGGTGTTTTGTGAAGGTGCCATATTTTATGTACTGTATTTTAACTGCTGTAAATGACTGTTGACATACTATTGCATTGTAACAGTCATGGGCTGAGTTAGCTGCTTACCTGTAGTAAGTTCCAAAGAGTTTAACCTTGAGACCACTGTGAAACCAGAACCATACCTGCATTTCAAATACTTTTAAGCACTAGTTTAAAAATAGTGTGTGTTTCTTTTGTATTTTTCTAGCTCTTATTACAGAGGTAGAATATGAAACAACAAATTAGGTACTTCTGATTGTGTGATGTTTACTTGGTAAAATGATGATGTTTACTTGGTAAAATGTCAGCTGAAATAATCATTCAGTGTACATCATGTCCACTGTGCTTTCCTAATGAGATAAATACATTTAAATGTGATCTAATGTAAGGCTTGCAACAGCTTATAGGTAACTTCCTGTAAAATAGTCTATTTTGAGGCATCTATTAAATCTACATGCACACTTGTTTAGTTGGGAGAAAATAAATTTACCTGTGTTAGAAGAATTTGCTTTTGACATTTTACCTTGGCATCCGTTGACTTGGAGCAGAGAGGTATAATGAATTCTGTTTGTTGAAACAAATTTTTACAATATTCTAACATTCAGTCTGATTTCACTTCTGCTTCATATGTGGTTTGTTGCCAGTATGCTGGTGTCATCTCTAGAAATTCATAATAAAATTTAAAAATAAGGTGTATTTTTTTAAAATATCTTTAACATTTCTGACAGCAATGGTTTCATGAACTGGATGATAAGAAGCGAGTTCTTTATGAGAACTGCAAGGAGCTGTTGAAGCAAGCTCGACAGGTCTGCAAATTGAGTCCAGATCAAGATTTTCCAAGAGAATTGCAAAGTGTATGTACAAAACCAAATCTCCACATCTGTCTTAAATGTATAGCTTCTGCAAAGAGTATTCTTTATTTTATATTAGAGGGCTCTCAGTAAAGGATAATGTGTATTTCTTTTATTGTCACTTAACCTTTTAAAGAACCTTTAAATAGTGCTGGAATACCCTCTGACTATCACTTTGTTTTGTGCACAGGGGAGAGAAAATTTGATCTGAGATTTCAATTAAAATCCATAGTATTTTGTTCACAGAAATAATTAGAGGCCGTATTTGTCTAACTTCCTTCTCTGTCCAAAGTAGTTTGTAAAGGGAATTTTGCTGTGTTAAATTTTGAATATGCAACATCCTGATTAAAAGTAATAGAATACTTTATGGTTTATTCAATTTCTTTTTAGAAAATGTGAGTCCTTAATTAGTATTGCTTTGTAACACTTGCATCCTTTCTCTTGTAGAGTTTTCAGGCTCTTCCAAACACATTGGAGGAAATTGATGCTCTTCTGAACGAAGAGAAGACCAGGGCCTCCTGTTTCACAGGCCTGAATGCTTCGGTATGTTCAGTGCTTACCTTCCACTCACTCTTCCTCTCCCTCTACTTGCACTGTACTTGCTTTCCACTCTGTGCTACATCCCTTGGTATAGGTATAAAAAGCTAGACAGCAGGAACAATGTGCTGTAAATGCCAGATTCTGCATCTATTCAGATTTTAAGTAGGTTGTTCCAAGAGAACAGTGTGTTCTGTGCCTTTTAAAAAAAAAGTGAAAGAGGTAATGCTTTACAATTTCTTTGCTTTAAAGCTAGAAATGTTTAGTGTGCAGTGCAATAGTGTATATAATTGTGTTTGAACATTATCAGTGCAGTGTGATATTATTACAGTGAAGGTTAGAATTGGGAAACATTTTGTTGATTACCTTTTTTTATTCTGGCAGGTTGTTGAAGAATACAATAAGCAAACACAAGAAATACAGCAGTTGACAAAATATCTAGAGGAAAAGAAAAATGAATTGAATAACTATAGGCAAAACATTTCACAGGTAATGGCTCAAGTTATCACTTTGGTATCATTATAATCTTATTTCATTATACATTATAGAACAAATGTATGTACAGAAATAAAGGGTAAGATTTCAAATTGTTTTGAGTGTAAACTGAAATGTGAGCTTCCCTAATTATGATGTTTCTTTAAATGCTAACTCTAAGAGAAAATTCAGTTTTTGAACTGGCTTTACATGGGTTTGTCTACTTTTAGGTCAAAGAAAGGTGGCTAAACCTCTTGAAAGGCATGATTGAACAAATTAATGCTAAGTTCAGTAAGTTCTTTAGTTCTATGCAGTGTGTTGGTGAAGTTGATCTTCATGTGGAAAATGAGGTAAGATTTATTTTTCATATGGAAGAATAACATTCTTTTGCATCACCTTTTGTCCATTTATTGCTAGAGGAAAGTAACAAGTGGTCATTTGGAGATGTTATTTTTAAAAAATAATGAACTTTTACTGAACACTTTGTGTACTGAACTTACTTACCAGTCTCAGTTGAAGAAAATTGGGTCTTTATCCAGATACATAGGACTTCACGTCTTGACTTGTGGAACAGGCTTGCAACTTACAGAGCTTGGTTAGAAGCTGTGACTCAGATTTATGAAATTAATGATTTGATTCTGCATTTTCAGCTGATTTGTGTTCTTCTGTTAACATCTGTATCTACTATTATTAGGTATTGATTTTGTTCTACATGCAGCTTCTAGTGGAGTGTGCTGGCATTTTGTCTGTTCTGGAAGCAGGAGTCATTGGTCCCATCCTGTTATGCTCTCAGTAGGGTTTACCTCTGAAGAGTTTAAAGCATCAGTAGAATTTGGGAAGAAATAGTAAGCGCAGTGAACAGAAAAGAAGTTGGATATTTTGTTTTAAATTGATCTCTATAGTTACGATTTCAGAACTTACATGTGTTAATGCATAGACTCCAATAGTGAAAATTAAGACTTGAGCTTTTATTTTTTTTTTTGCTATTGTAAATTAACTCAGTGGTTTGAATCTTGTTTTCCCCCGAGAGGCTAAGAAAAGTGGTAACCCCCAAGGGGTGGAAACCCCTGAAAGTTTTGAAGTTCTGTCCAATGGGCGCTCCTGCAAAAAATGTAAACATATCACAAGCACCGGAAGAGAAGAGTTGTAGTTTGGGTAGTAGGTAAAGTGGCCATGTTGTAGGAGCCACGAGGAGAGGGCAGGAGCCCTCTGGGGGGGGCCTCTGCCCCCCAGCCCCAGTTGGGGGCTACAGAGACTTGGAACAGTGTTAAGCTGGACTATGTGTCTGTAGCTGTGAGCTGGGAGATGTTTTCCACTGTGAGTGAGCAGAGACAGAGCAGAAGCGGCAGCAGCGTCCAGAGGTTATGGCTAAAAGCCAACTGATAAGACCTGAACCGGAGAAGCAGCAGAAGCTAGCAGCAGAGCTACGGAGTTCTGGGGGTAGGAACTGATACCAGACCTGCCCCCCCCAAACTCCTTTGATCCCTCTGAGAAAAAGACGGAGATGGACTCCTATTTTGGAGAGCAGTTTTGGACATGCAGCACCAGAGAGAGAGAGAGAGAGAGAGAGAGGAGCTGAGAAGCTCAGAGCGTCCTGGGAAGCTGGACCGGGACGGAGAGGAATGTGGAGGAGGGCTTCGCGCCCCTAGAGCCTTGAGACAGAGCACAGAGCTCTGCAAAGGGGAATTTCAATCCCCTGAGGAAGGGACTTTCACGAAGATGCCCCTGCATTTCGTGATATACCTGTGGTGACGCGAGTCTGGTCCCTGCTGGCAGCCCACAGGTGAGGCCTTCGCTTGGACCGAAGGAGAGCCGAGGGGCTTGGAGACCCCCTTGTGTGTATTGAACAGAGATCCAGCTACAACAATCCAGTTACTGCTGCATGCATGAGATGAGGAGACCTGCTGCCTTAGAAGAGACTCCTGCTTGGGACTGGAAGGGATCTGTCCTTCTTTCCCTCCTGGACTTTTATTTGGAGGAGAGAAGAGATCTGATCCATTGTAAATACTATATGTCATGGTAGAGATAGTTGTGATCGTGTGTATAAAGTATTAGGATATTTATTTGTACAGTCATTGTAATATATTCCCTTTCCCCCACTCTGAGTCTGGTGTGTTTTGTCTGGAAAAACCCATCTCACATTGGGTTGAGATGTGGGAGGGGGGGATGGAGCTAGGGAATTGGATTTTGGGACTATCTCAAACCATGACACTCAAGCAGCTTTTTAAAAAATATTTGAAGTGGTAGCTATTACTCGGGGCAGAATAGTGTCCGACAAGGCTCTGTATATGAACTGCATAAAACATGTTTACATGGGGACTAGTATGAAACAGTAGGACATTAAAACATGGACTTTTCTGGTCTTTTGATAGTTACCTGGAGAGTCAGATCTATTTTACACAAAACTATCTTTTAGATAAAAGTAAGTTGGCAGTGAGAACACAGAAGGAACATTAAAGCAGTTCAAAAGCAAAAGGAGTCTGGACTGTCTTTCTGAGTATCTTCTTTGGAAGGTCTTGCTTTTCTATACCAAAGATGTCACAAGTAGTTTTAAGAGGTTAGCCAGTGGTATTGTGCCACTTCCTTGCTCGGGGGGATCAGTGGCAAAAATGCAGAAAGGTAGATAATCTGTTCCTGAGCTTGGATTCCTTACCCTTCGCTGCAGCAGGGTCTTTTGCCTGACCTGTAGATATAAAGAGGAAACACTCTTGAGGTAGAATTATCTTTTCTTAGAAATATTTGTGTGACACTGAAGTTCAAACCTCTGTTAGCCTGCCTTGCCGGTAACTTGAGATCTGTTGATGTCCTTGGTGACAGTAATAGGAGGAATCTTGGACATTGGGAGAGATTTCACAGAAAGGGAGATATTAGACATTGGAACTAACTGCCTAAGGAGGTGGTCTAGTTGACATAGTGGTGTTCAGTAATAAGTTGGACTCTGTTATCTCAGAGGTCTTTTCCAACAAAATTGATTCTGTGATTCTGAATCTGTGATAGTATGTGAACACTTCACTGGGTTCTTCCTTGACGTCCTAGCAGAAGCCTCAGTGAACATTTTGACTTTCCTTGGCTAGCAGAGTTCCACTAGCAGTGATAACCCTCACATTCCTTGATTTCCCCACAGGGAGTTTTGAGCATTGTTCTTGTCAGGTCTTGAACATCTTGTCAGTTGTAGAAATTGGCATTCCAAATAGTCTGGCAACAAAGGCCTGACTTTCTGACAGCATCATGGCTATGTTGGAGGGTAAATCTTTCTTACTCAAAGTTTTGCTAGCCTGTACCTTGTTTGCTTTCCTGAGCCTAGCTTCAGTTCTGTGCAAATGGATCTAAAATTATACTGGGTCTAGAGACCTTAGATCCTAGTTTTTATTTCTCCTTACATGAAGTTGTGATCAGAACAACTGAACACAACTTCAGAAATATTAATGTGTACTCTGAAGATTTCTTTTTTCTCTGAATCATGAATGTATTTCCTTGCATGATGCTTCTTTTGAATCATGTCTGTTACCTGACACCTTTGCATTGACTCAGGCTGCTGACCAGTGTCACTTTACTGTTAAAGAAAAGCCAGGGTTGGAATCTTTGTGTGTGGTTTTCCTGTGTTAAGGATGAAAAGAAAATTGCTGTGGTGAATTTTGGACTGCTTGCACTTGAAGAGGTTCAGATGGAATCTTAACCTACACACCACCATCACTCCTTTGTTCAATTTGGTAGTACCATGTACCCTAATGCCCTGATTTTTTTTCTGATTAATGAGATTTATAGGGACATTGTTTTCTTCTTTTTCTAGCCAAGATTTTTTTTTCCTACTGATGTTCTGAATGTGTATGAAACCTTTCTTACCAGGGATTCAGAAATGAACAGATCATTGTCATGGGGAAGGAGTGTTGTTGAAAATTCTCTAACAAGAGTATATGAGATTTAAGGAAAATAGATGAAACAGAATTAATATATTGATTTTAAGTTGAAACTGAGTAGTTTGTAGACCCTTGTAGAATATTTGTCATAAATTTCTTCAAATTGCATGTAATTGTAAAATAAGCTGTATTACGAAGAAAATGAGTCCGACAGGTGCTGGCTTTTACAGGAGGAGTACGACAAGTATGGGATTCGCATTAGAGTCAAATTCCGCAGTGGCACTGAACTTCATGAATTGACTCCATATCATCAGAGTGGAGGTGAGAAGAGTGTTTCCACTATGTTGTACCTGATGGCTCTACAAGAACTCAACACATGTCCTTTCAGGATTGTTGATGAAATAAATCAGGTGAGGATCAATAGTGCAGTATTGAACTTATTACATACAGGTGCTTATGACATAGTGAAGAGAACAGTTTTTTTTTTTCCCCTTTTAGGGAATGGATCCAGTGAATGAGAGAAGAGTTTTTCAAATGGTTGTTGAAACTGCTTGTAAAAAAAAGGCATCTCAGTACTTCCTCATTACACCAAAGGTGCGTGGCAGAAAATGAAATTAAAAATTTTATGTGTAGGAGATTTAAGATTTGTGTGATAATACCTCTATAAACACTGTATAACTTAGCTCTGTTTTACCTAAGGACTTTATATTAAAGGGTAACTGAGAGGATTTGTCTATTTTAAGGACAGTCCTGGCAAGAATTGAGGCAACTTAGACCAAGGCTCATGTCCTCAAAAACCCATTCAGTGGAAGTATCATATGTTAACCACCAGCGGCTAGGGTTACTGTGGAACAAGGCCTCTAGCTAACACAGAGTTCAAACTGTAGAAGAGACCAATTTCCAAACAAGTCAGATGACAATACTGGAGGAGGAGCAGGCTAGTGCTGCTGATGTCAGAAGAACTAGAAGAGGCCCACATTATTACAGGAAAACTATTCAAGTAATAATCCAAGACACAGAAGCTGAGAAAAGGTGAGAGCTAGGCTCCAAGAGTGCTTAATTGTACTCTTCTGTTAAAATAAAAAAAATTAAAAGATGATTGGCTTACTAAGTGATGTGGTGATGTGATGCCAAAGCTTGAAAGGACTAAGGTAAGTAGGGTAGCTGTTCACCCACACCTTTAACAGAAACTAATGTTATTGAACTAGTAAAGGTTATATGTGCACCGGGGAGACAAGCAGTCAGTAGTGGGCTGGTTTTTATTAAGATATCGGGTCTGCACCCTGTTACTCACTGTTTTAGAAAATCTGGCTGGTTTATGGTATTATTTTCTGTACATAACAGTTGAAGGGTCTGAGTAAAGCCACCTTAACAGCATTTACCTGACTGAAAGTGGGTGGAAGGTGGTGCTGCTTGTTCCTTCTGATCTTGCTGTATACTTGACTCCACACAGTTTCGTGGTTTCCTGACCACATTACTTCTTTATTGTTCTCTGTGTTACCCACTCTCTTTTATCTTCTTGAGATTCCCTTCCTTATTGGATCAACTTTTCTGTGCTCTCTCCTGCTTTGAGAAGGAACAGAATGATTTAGATGTTGAAAAAATAGAGTTCAACTAAGTATTATGCTTCCCAAATCTAGGAAACTGTAGAAAATGACTGTCTGGGGTTCAGAGTTGTGTTCTATTCTAAAAGTTGTGCTCATTGTCAAATTACTAAGAATAGAGATGGGGAAATGGGAGTTGCACAGAGCTAACCAGAAGGAAGAGAATAAAAAATAAAATGGGTAAAAAAACCTCGGACGCATTATTCAGCAACAAAAGATGGTGCTATGAAGAGGTGGCTGAAGGTATTACATCCTTCTGGCTACCCCTTCTTCCCACTCCCCACAAACAGGTATGGCCACAGCAAAGTTGTAATGGCTTGTCACAAGAAACATCAGTGAGCGAGCATGTCATGTACAGATTTTAGCCCATAACAGTATTTGAGTGAGCACATCAGAGAATCGTTGAAAGGCTGCACAGGGCAGGCTGAGGAGAAAGCCAGACTGCTGTTGCAGTGCCTTACCTGCAGTTCCTGAGCCTGTGCTGTATGTTACCACTTCCTAGAAAGCAAGGATGTAATCATATACTAGGAAGTGTGACTAATTGCCATTCTAAGGTAAATTCTATGTATGTACCCAGTGGATACAGGGAAAACTGTGACCCTTTTTTGTTGACACTCTCCCCAGCTATATTTTTAAGCAAGCTATAAATGGGAAGGGGTATAAACTAGTATGCAGTAAAGGTGATTAGGAAAATTGTATTCTGTAATTCATGGTCAGCTGAGTAGGTGAACTGAGTGTGTTCCTTAGAAGTGGATTTGAAAATCAGTATTTTTAATAGGAATCTGTGCTGAAGCAAATTACGTTTGTTAAACGTATGCATTATCACCATGTTGGGAGTTAATCCTTTTTTGGCTGTAAAGCAAGATTAGAATTCTAAACAATCTTAGGTGTCTTTAATTGAAAATAGGATTCATTTCAGCACAGACAAGCATAAAATTTGGTACTTAAATGAGAAAAATCAACAACAGCATCTGGTCTAAGGCCTAAATGACTGGGGAGACAAGTTACTGTGGATAATAAGTTGAGCATCAGTTACAGGTAAATCGCTAAACATCATCCTGACCACTGCACATAACCCTAGAGCTTGCATGACATCTGTCTCCTGGGCTTGTGCCTGCAAGATTTGGATTGTGGTAAATGTCCAGCTTTAGCTGTGACCTTCAGAAAAGTAGTTTGGGGGAGCTGGAGTTACTCCAGAAGACAGCAGAGCAACTTTTAAGTAGTTTTGATTGTTTTGAGTTTCCGCTAATGAAAATTGCTTAGCTTAGAGGAGTGAGCACAAGGCTAAAGAGAGACATAATAATTGTACCCAAGTAAATCTACTTCCTATCCTGCCCTAGGAAAAAAAAAAAGGAAAACCAGCTGTTACTCTCTCCCCATTGTGGATACAGAAAAAAAGTACTTAAACGGTTTCTTCCAGTAAGAATAGTGACACATGGAAATTGCCTGAAGAATGAGTGGAGTCTCTTTGAGGTGGTTTCTAGGAACAAATGTACATCATCTGTCAGAAAGGCTATAATTCTGCCATATTGACCTTTTGAGATCTAAGGTCTCATGTAGACTTCCCTTTTTAGAAAATGGGAAACGTACCTATTTTGACTTTGGGTTTTGTGTTTTTCACTAGCTCCTGTGGAATCTCACTTACAGTGACAAGATGACTGTGCTGTTTGTCTACAGTGGACCTTTTATGGTGGAGTCAAAAAAATGGAACACAAAGTATTTCATGAAGCGAAGACGGCGACTGTCAAGGATGGCTGAACAGTGTATAGCTACAGATATGTAGCTATACATATATAAAATGTTTCTGTAGACCTTTTTTGAAACATTTGGCTTTCAAGACTCCAGAAGTTGTAAAAGAGGAGAACCTGCAAAGAATTGATAATTAAGAATGTGAATCTTAAAATTTACACAAATGTATGACAGATTTGAAGTGCATGATTTCTTTTTGAAACCTATCATAGTGGTCACTTTCTGTGAAGAACTTACTTTTTCTCAATGGTAGGTTTAAATAAAAAAGGAAATTTCTTGTATTTTTCTGGGTTTTTTTCAGTAATGCAGCATCAGAAGTACAGTTAATTTTTCTATGTTATACTGGACTGATTCTATTACTGTTGTTTTTTGGAGTCTGGGTTCTTTTCCCCAAAAATTGCAATTAGCTTTCAGAAATAGTCTTCATTTACCACAGATATGGATGTTATCTAAAGTTCACCTATTGAAATGTAACCTTTTTTAATTAGTTCAGATGATCTGTAGGAAGAGAACGATTTGTAAGTAGCTGAGCACTGGGTTTTTTTTTTGTGAAAATACACCTGAACTTAATATAAAGAATATGGTTCTATGAATGTATTACTGTTGAGTAAATACTTTATAATCATTATTTATCATCTTTGACATAATGTTTCATTTTGTAGTCCTCAAGGGATAAGGTCACAAAATCACAAATATTTGACAGAAGAGCTAAAAGAGTGTGGAAACTTGAGCTCTGGTCCGGGGTTTGGGTTGGTCAGCAGAGTATCCTCAACATAATTAAAACTGCAGGTCTGTCTGTCTGTCCAGTGTATTGCAGGGTCTTTGTTTTATATGTGTTCTTTGATAGACAAAATACTTCACTTCTTGTAACCCTGAATTTTTAAGGTGGTTGTTTTGTTACATTTTTCATTTTTATTTTTAGGGAGTTGTAAAAACATTCTGTTTAGTCTCTGAGCATCACTGTATGAAAAGTGCAGTTTTTCAGTGTCTAAATAAGTGAAACTATTTACACGAACATGTGTTAGACTTGGTTCTTCTGTGACTAGAGAGCACTATCTGTTCTTAATGCTGTCATCTTAGAACTTCATGGGATTTCTTCTTTGATTTTGGTTCCTTTCTCACGTTTCAAACTGAGGTAGGAAATAGAAGTGACTTATTTCAAGAGGATGACACTTCAGATCCTGTCTCAAAAAATTACCTCTTGTGGATACATGGCTGCCACACTGCACAAGTGAAGAGGTGTTTGTCTTTTCCTTAAAGCCATTGACCACAGGTGCTGATTTCATTCTATCTTACTGCAATCTTAATACAATACTGTCATTCATATTAACTTACCCTAGGCAGTGTAATGAGCTGCAAACCTCCACTGTCATGGTACTAACAAATAGATCTTCAGTGTCCAGCAGCTCTCCTACCTGAGGCCTCTGAAGGAGGTCTGTATATGGAAGCAGGCATTGCTGTTTGCAGTGGGCCGCACAGCATGGCTGTGTCCTCCCATACACTGGGTCCTGTTAGTCACCTGCTGATTTGTGTGAGAGGTGCATCCAGAGACCTTCTGGTGTAAAAGGGTGTATTCAAACTTGAAAATCTACGTGGAGTCGCCAAATGTAACTGCACTGTTACAGAGCATTCTCTACCAGCTAACAGGGCCCTTCTGTGCTGCCAGCTTCCTCATGCTTTGCTACTGACATTCAGCTCTTGCTATAAAAACCCATGGAATTGATTTCAATGTAACTTTGAGGAGGGGAGAATGAGTGGGAGTTAAGGTTAAATATACATGTGATATCCAACTTTCCCTGCTGACTAGACAGGACCTCCCAGAAATGTAGAAGTGGAAAGACCCCAAATAGTCTTAACAGCTGATGTATAAATTGAGCTTTCTCAAAAAATAGGTGCTCCGTTGTTTAGACCAGCTGAAGACTAGGGCAAAGATCTTCTTCCACCACCATCTGCAGTTCTAACAAACTAACAAACATCTTTCTCTGCTTATGTCTTGCAACAGAGAGAAAGAGCATGGAAATTGTGACTTACTGAGAAATAAAAAGATCTTGGGAAAAAAAAGGCATTTGATACAACATGTACTTGTACAGGTACATTATTGTTATTTAGGAGAGATTGCTTAGTCAAAACAACAAATTACAATGAGGAGAGACCCTTGCACCACTACACTGCTTTTAACATGCTTAGATGAAGCTTAGTTTTGTACTGGAAATAAAATAAATGTGTCCTGACAAAGTTGTTCCTGACTGGGAACATCTGTTCTCCAAGTTTTTAGAGTTAGTGAGAGATGACAGAGCTGGGCTGGGCTTGCAGGATGCTTACTGAGAATTATGGTAGATGCTTTAGAGGCTGGGATAGGCACCTGCTCCAGGCCTCATAGCAAGTGGTACTTAGAGTTAACACTACTAGAGGCTTTTGTCTTTGATTTATTCCAAGATGCCTTCTCTTCCTCTCGAAGTAAAATTCTCCAGTTGTCCAGTCTTTCTTCTGTTGATCTATTTGTTACCCCCACCAGGCCAGTGGGTTTTTTTGACAGATGTACTGCTTTGGGCTGGGATAAAGTTAATTTTCTTCATAGTAGCTTGTATGGGGTTATGTTTTGGGTCTGTGACCAAGAACACTGTTGGTAATGTAGGGATATTTTAGCTATTGCTGAGCTGTGATTGCACTGCATTGAGTCCTTTCCTGGTTCTTGCACTGCCCCACTAACACAAGAAGTTTATAAGAAGTTGGGAGGGGACACAGGTAGGACAGCTGACCCCAGCTGGAGAGAGGGCTATCTCATGCTGTATGATATTGTCCTCAGCAGTGAAAGCCAGGGGAAGAAGGAGGAAGGAGGGACATCTGGATTACATCTTCTCAAGTAACCACTGTGTGGGATGGAGCCCTGCTTTTCTGGAGGAATAGCAATGCTTGTCTGTTGATGGGAAATAGTGAATGAATTCCCCGTTTTGCTTTGCTTGTGCATGCGGCTTTCGCTGTAGCTGTTAAACTGTCTTTATCTCAATCCACGTGTTTTTTCATTTTTACCCTTCTGAGTCTCTGGCCCATCCCACTGGGGGAGGGTGAGCAAGTGGCTGCCTGGCACTGACCTGCTACCTAGGATTAATCTCAAAATGTGACATTATGCCCTTCATTATTGCACCTGGAGCTACATAAAATGGTGGCAAATGTCTTTGCTCATTGTGTACTCAGAAGAGCAAGTCACCTGCTCACAGGAAAGCATGGATATGAGAACATGGCAAGTTAGCTGGAAAGGAATGACAGAATTCACTTTGTTGGGGATAAGGAACCATGCACAGTGGCAGTCAGAGCTGATTTTGCAAGAAGAAAGAAGGAGGGAACAGATGGTAACTCAGGGTGGCAGAAGATATCAAGGAGCCTTGGAAAAGAACAAAGAGCAGAAGAGGGCACAGGTAATGTGCAACATGAATGGTTCAAAGCAAATCAGGATGATGTAATTTAAAAGGGAAAAGTCTCCAATTCCCCCTTCCCCAATTTGTAACCAAAGCTGTAGACTGAACAGTATGCAGCTTGATCTTAACTGCAGTCCATTAGCACTGGTTTGCCTCAGTTTGTGTCATGTAATAGCTTTTTCATGGAAAATAAAGGGTTTTTTTGACTGTTTATTTTTGGTTTGTGGGGTTTTTTTGGTTGTTTTTGAGGGGGATGGTTGTTTTTTTGGTTAGTTGGGTTTTTTTGGTTGTTTGTGGGGGTTTTGTTTGTTTGTTTGTTTTGCATAGGTATTTTGTTTGTTGGGTTTGTTGTTGGTTTTCCTGAAGAATTACAGCATAAATCCAAAGCAAATGATCGACAGAAGGAGTGCAAAGACACTCTCAGACACTGCTGACATTATCAACCTCACTTTGTGCTCCTGCAGTGATGCTTAAAGGTCTGTTCAGGTGAAAAGCCACTGATGTTACAGTTTTCTGTGGGCTGTGGTGGTTGAGGAATCTGATTCCACTTTGTGTCTGCTTCTGAGCTGAACTGTACTGTCTGTGAAGAACTTTTTTGGTCAGAAATTTTGTAGTATTTAAAATACACTTTGCTGTATAAAATATACTGGCTTGGTGCCAGTATAATTAAAGTGATACAGTCTTCAGTGTGTATGTACTTTCTTAAGCATCAGTATGTAAAAAAATCAGTATGTTCACGAAAAATCATTGGAGTAAGTTATATTGGGAGAATCTCCTTTGTTTCAGTTTGGATAAATTTACAGTAAGTCTGTCCCCCTTGATATGTTTCAGTTTAAAAATGATAGCCCTAAGAAATGTGGTTTGTGAGGTATAAGAGCTGAATGTAGCTTAGTTTCTAGATTAGCCTGGATTATCTTCTGCAGTTTAGAAAGGCAAAGGCAGTGATTTGCCACCAGCATTGCACAGGCTAGTAACACAGTTGTGGTTTTCTCTGACCATGTGTTTTTTCTGACAGACTTTTTCAGCTTGGAAACACTATTCAAGGCCAGCAAAGCACTCATTAACAGCAGAAGAGCCCAAACTCATATGTGGTCTCTGCAGGGAGCTCTAGTGCAATTTACATCTATGTCTGCTGAAACTTCTAGTGTTGTCTTTCTGGCCCCTGCCCATTAGCCAAAAGAGGGGGAAAAAAGTCATTGGGAAAAGCTCAAAACTTTTCTGTGTACCTTTTTAGCACAGTGTGCGGAGGGCTCTGATGTCGTCTCTCTTCTTTGGTTTCTTTTTCCATGTGTTCTGAATTCCAGTAGGGTTTTCTTGTATCTTGGCATGGTGAGCTGCCTCTCTCTACTCAGAGATTCTCCTTATGCTGTGGTTTACACACTCCATTTCCTTGGTACCTTGTGTTTCATTGTGCAGACACCCAGGCATTATATGGCCTAAGAGGCAACAGACAACACTGAAATAGAGACTGATGGGTTTTGATATGAAAAGCGATAGGATGTTTATCCTTCTGAATTGGAGGCCACAAGCCAGTAAAAATAGAGTAACAGTTGCAGCAATTTCAAAAGTACAAATCAAAAGCAATAGGTATTCTTCTCTCTCTCACCCCAAAAGCCATACATGAGTTGGAAAAATACAGAAAGAAGCATTTGTTAAGGATTAGAACTGATAGCAGTCAAGACCTTCTCTTTTTGAAATGAGAGGATTTCCACAATACTTGTGGAAGTGTTTGAGGAGGTGTTTTAGGGGTCAGGGAGTTTCTCATTGAGGAGAGCATGACACTGAAACCTGGTAACTGCAAAATTCTTGCCATTGGGAAAGCTTCCCCTTCTTTAAGGCAGTCCCTTAAAGAGTAGCTGGGTAAGTACAGTTGTCTGACAATTGTGAGTTCACATTAAATTACTGTTGATGAAATTTGTCAGATGTGGTTGGGAAGTGCAAGGAGCTCAACCTGGAACAGATTGTTTCCAAAGCAAAAGCCATTGAAAAAGTAGTGGTTGTTACAGAGCTCTGATGCAGAAAGGAAGCCTCACTGACTCCTTAGCCCTGGAAGAGGGAGTGCTGAACAATATTGTTCTAGACTCCTATGGAGATCGAAGTCATCCAGGTCACCCAGCAGGCAGATTCAGAAAGCCACCCTTCCTCATATGCAGCTTTCTGAACCACTTTGCAGGCATTGAACCGAACTTTTAAGACATTTTATGGCACATTTCCCTTCTTCTGTTCTTGGCAGAGAGGAAGAAGGAAAAAACAAGAGACCCTCACAACCTTGTAGACGTTATGCTCTCAGAGTCAGCTGGTCTGTGTTCAGGATCACTCTTCCCTGTACCACTGTTGAAGTCTGCCAGCACCACTGTGGTGCACCCAAGTCGTCACATGACATACAAAGTCGAGTCAAAATTTACACTGCTCCTGGCAAGACTACTCTGTAGAGTGTACTAGATCTCAGTGGTTGGAAACATCCTCCTAAGGCTAAAGCCTTCTCTGTGCTAGGAAGATTTTTGTAGCTGTTCCAATTACAGCACTAAAGACAAATACTAGGGGTTCAAGGTGAAGAATGGTAAATTTGTAGAAAGTCTTTAATGAGGGGCTTGCAAGGGAATGAGGCCATTGCCACAGCCCTGTGTCCCTTATTCCTAAAATCAATGACAAGCTAAAAGAAGAAAACCTCACGCTGAGTTTGTTTTATCTATCCTTTGGCCATCCAACCCAAGAAGAGGAAACTCCAACTCAGAATCAAGTCAAATCTGGAGGCTACTTAAAAGTTTAGTTCCAGGTGCAGATGGTATGCTTCCACCTGACTGTCTCTGCCTGCATTGCTGGAAGGTTATGTGTTCCCTTGGGTCCAGGGCTTATCCTGCAGTCGTACCCTAGCACTGTTCCCATGTACCAGGTTAAGTTAGTTCATCTAAGTAGTTGCTTTTAGCAACTGCAATGTCAGTGACTGTAAATGTCAGTGAGCTTTTTGGCACAGGGCTCCTTGACCTTTTCTCCTTCAGAGGCTAAGCAAATGGTTTTTTATCCCATATACCAGCAACCCTCCAAAGCTCAAGGCAGCAGTGTGGCTGCACAGCCTAAAGCATCATTAGTTCAAGGAGCAGCTGTGTGAGGCAGAGCACCAGTCTGAGCTCAAAAACCATGGAGCAATGGGAGACAGACTTCTTAGGAGCTGGAGCATGCAGGTGATGTGACATTTTTCCCCCACTACAAGTTGTGTCTCTCTCTCCTTGTTGTACTGGCAGAAGGAATACCTGGGAAACAAGACCCAAGCCAAATAATGACTAGCAACACTAAACCCTTCAAAGCTGGTTCATACAGTACTCAAACCATGGATTTCATCATGTGCAGCAGGATTTTTTTTGTAATCATTGATTACATATCAATGACCACTGCTTGAGTCCAATCATTCAAGATAAAGTTGGGTTTTTTTACTCCTTTTTTCTTTATTTGGACAATATATATACACATATGTACAAAAACATCTATGCCTACTTTTTTTTTCTTTTCCTTTTTTTACAATTTCATGTGATTTACAAAACAGGACAGCAAAATAACTTATAAAGAATACGAATACTGTACAAAAATAAAACTGATTAAACTGTTGGAAGTTGGTATTTTACAGTGTTACAGATCACTAGTTTGTAAAACAGCACTTTGAAGTATGTGTCCAGTCTGGGCTAAGTCCTTCTGTAAGCTGAAAACAGATCTGTAATACAGGTAATGAAAAACTGTTCAAAAAGAAGAATGTTACATATCTATACCTTTAAAGCCATGACTTCTCTATACTAATGGACTTTCTTAACCAAGGAGAAGAGCTGTCCTAACTTCAGCACTATTAAGTACTTCCAAAATAGTACAAGTACATACGGTATTAGAGAACCTGATTTTTTATTTCTTTTCCAACATTTGCAACACTCTTCGAAACTTAACTTCAAGATGCGAAGAACTAACCTGCAGTTTGTTTTATGTGTTAAAGCCATTATTTGCTTTTACTGAAAACAAAAAGAAAAAAAAAAGAAAAAACCAAATTAACAAAACAGTAATATGAAATCCCCAAACCTGATTATTCCCAGCATATTGTGTTAGTGGTTAATGAATCACATTAATCCTGTCTGCCTAATGCTGAAATACAGCATACATTACCATTTTTTCAGCAACAGGATCTTTTCACCAGCAATGGTGACACATGTCCCATTGTCCCATGGACTAAAGTATTTCCCTCCTGTTGACTCTTTCAGACTTTGCAGGAAAAACAATGTTTCTTTAAATATGCATTCTACCCCAAAAAAGCAAGGTGGAAACCATAAATCTGGCCCTTTACTTCCATGTATTGGTTAAACCCAGTAGCTAAGTGACCAAAATATCTACATGCTGATTTAGGAGCTGCTTATCAGTGGCTTCCCATTATGGTTGACAGAATGTGAGGTTCTCTTGTATTTCACAGGATCAGGCTTTAATTTTCCAAGTGCTGCATTTATCCCACAAAATGGTAACAATCCAGACTGCAGGATGGACTGGAAATCTTGCTTGATCTTCAGAGAGAAGAAGGAAGATGAACGTGCATGCACCTTTGAATTTCACTGGGCTACTCGTGGCTACTTGTGGCTCTGACCCCACTCAAGGCAGCATGAACAGTACTGGTAAGCAGAACACTTTCTGTATTTCTAGATCAATAGAAATACCAATGCTACCAGTTTTTATTGTGAAGAACCGATATCCCTATGACTCATTTTGAATACAAGAAATTAAAGTTTGGTTTCTAAAATAAATGTTTCAAAAAGGTGAAACGGAGGTAGAAAGTGTGCTTGGTTTCCTGATGTCTTCACTGAAGAAAACACATCCCTTTTTTATTCCACAGACTGTTCAATATCCCCAATGCTTTAAAAGCAATTCTCTTCATATAGACGGAATTTATCACGAACTACACAGGTAAAAACACAGTATGCAAACTGATTTCTAATGCTGAAAGCCATATTCAACTGTAGAGGAAAACACTCTACTTTCCGAGTTCATTTTTTATGGTTTTTTTTCTAGGAAGCAAGCTTTTTATCAGATAAAATGATAAGATACTATAATTGCAGGTGTACTAACAAGATTTTTTATGTACAGAATTTTACAAGATGACCTAAATTCGTCTGCAGTGGAAACACTTTGGGTTTCAGTGTGATTACTCACAAGATGAATTTGGCCCTAAGTCTCTCTAGTAGGGGT